AGGAGGCGCAAAGCCCAGGGGTGGGTTCACCTCCACCTCTCACAGTGGGAACTTCGGGCCCCACCTGTTAAACCCAACACTGTCCTCCGTCCTTGGGGCCCGTGCCCGGGAAGAGCTCCCTGAGCAAAGCGTGTTCCTGCGCGTCCCCGGGCTAAGGCAGGCGGCAGCCTGGCCGCCTCGGGGGAGGGGCAGCAGATGTGGGCCAGCCTGGTGGACAGATTCTGAAATGAGGCCTGAAGAAGGATGGAGAAGGCAAAGTCGGGGTGCAGGCGTCCCGTGCTCCTGAGAAGCGAGAGTGGAGGGGCTGAGCCAGAAGCCGGACGGCCTGGGCAGGGCCATCCTGCCCACCCCTTGCCCAGCGGGGCCCGCTGTCGCTGGCCTGGGAAACCCCAGCAGCTGGGCTGCATCTGCCCTTGCCACGGAAGGCGAGACGGGACAGGCTTCCGCAAGCAGACGCCTCGCCGACGGGCCAGGCCTGAGCAGGTGCCAGGGGAGTGTAGCCCTGGGGCAGCGGGAGAAGCACGAGGGGACCTCACGCTGGTTGTGTGCAAGGAAAATGAGGTTTCTGGCTTGTGGGGGACAGCGTCAGGTGGGACCCAGGAGCCCTGGGCCTGGAAGAACCCCCTGCCCGTGTCCCTGGCCCCTGCGGGCTCTGCTGTGTGTGCCCCGGAATGGGCAGGATCTGCGAGGCGTGGTGGCCACCAAGCCAGTGAGGGTGAGGCCACCTGCAACGGCGGCCTGGTGGGCTCCCCAGAATTAGGCTCCCCCTCTTTGTCTCACAGAGCCCGGGCCTCACCGCCCGGCCCTTGTGCTGTCCTCTCTGCCCTTCGGCTTTCCAGCCAGTCTCCCCAGCAGCGGCACCAGCTTCTGCTCCCCTACCCCACAGGCGGGGGCGATCTTTGCAGCTCCCCCCGCCTCTGTGGTGACGGACGGGACACTGGGGCCCAGGGTGTCGCTCCGCAGTGGGTTAGGGACACACATAAAGTGGAACTGAAAGTCTCCGGAGAGCGAGCCCCCGAGGCCATTTTGAAAGTCTTATGAGCTCTTATCTGAACGCTCATCCCCAAAGACATGCCAGGATCACTCAGCAGCTTCTGGGGCTCTGCCCCCTGGCTTCCCCTCAGGCTGCGGGAGCGGTGGGTCCCTGACCCACACTGGGGGCGCTGCCACTGCCCCAGCAGGAAAACAAGATACTGACTGAAGGTGGGTCATTTAGCAAACAGCAAATGCTTGCCGAGCACCTGGCCTGGGCTAGACTCCAAGGAAGGCAGGGAGGGCACGGCCGGGGGGCTGGTGGGTCCCCACAACCCATCTGGCTCAGAGATAAAGGGGATTAGGGCTGAACTGGGCAGGAGTCAGCGCTGCACTCAGGAGAAGGCAGCCCCTCCCGCCAGGTGTCCCAGGACCCCAGGACAGGTCCCTGGATGGGACTGAGGGGGACCCCAGAAGGGACAGAGCAGAGCCGGTCACCTGAGCACATTTCGAGGATGCTCCTGAGGGACAGCCGCAAGCGACCTGACCTCGAGACAGAGCCCCCCACGGCCCAGACCACCGAGCTGCCCGAGAGTCCTCCGTGCTTGGGAAGGTTGGGCAGCTCGGCTAAGTGCATCCTCCATGGCGCGCCCTTTTCTTCACCAAACATGGCAGTAGCAGCTCAGCCCTCTGCCAGGCTCCCGGGAGCACTGGTGTTTCAAAGATGACACCCCGCGAGGAGACAGAGTAGGTGACCCTGTTCTCCCGCTGCTGCCTCCGTCCCTGCAGCACCCACAGACCTCAGCGCCTCCAGGAGTGAGACCTGCGCACCCGCTGTGTGCCGGACTCAGGAGCTCCGGAGGAGCTGGAGTCGCCTTCTCCAGTCCAGTTTGCCCTTCCCGGGAGGATGAGCCCCGGGCCCGCTGGCTACCCGGCACCCCCCTCCCGCCACCTGCACGGAAGACCCCAAGAACAAGACCCTTTGCTTCCTAAGGCCTCCCCTGCCCCCGGAGGACCCCTGAAATTGTGCCCAAGCCTTAACTGGAAGTCCTGCAGGCAGATGGAGGTGTCTGGGGCCGGGCCCTGGAGAAGTGGGGTGACCCTCAGCCCCACGGGACCAGACCGCTGCTTTAGAGGCGCACACTGACAGGAGGGCGGCCCCAGGCCGAGTCAGCAGTTCACAGAGTCCTGGGCCAGAGCCCTCTCCTCTCACGGCGGGGAGCTCTGTCGAACGTTGGCTCGCTGAGTTTTGCAGACTGCGGGGCTCTGTGAGGGCACCTGGGCATTGGGGGGCACGGAGGGCAGAGGGGAGGGCGCAGGCGTGCTTAGAAGAAGCTGGGAAAACCCAGAGAAAGGTGGGCTTCTGCCTTCTCCCCACACCGGCCCCAGGTCTGCCTGATGCCCCCAGGGAGCCCCTCCTGCAGGGTCCAGCACAGGAGAGAAGGTGGGGATCCCCCCGTAGACGGTATGGGGAGAAGCGCAGGGAAGGCGAAAGCTGACTGGTTTGCGTCCCGAGGCCGCGGCCATCTGCGGGGAATGTCTCTTCCACGCCAGGCCTCCTGTCCTGTCCGACGTGGGCTCTCCGAGCTCCAGGGCTGGGGTTCGGGGCATAGTGACCCCGCCTTTTGCAAGCGGCGGTTCGGCTTCTGCGACACGCCACGGTCCCGGCACTCCGCAGTCGCTGCCCGGAGAGCAACACATAGGGTGACAGTTCCCCTTAGTCGTCCCCAGCGTTGGGTTCTGCGGGCCCGTGGTGCGCAGCTATGCGTGTACCGAGACGCGGAATCACGGTGGTGATAAAGAGGAGCTGAGCTTAAACACGGGGTTCCTCTCATCCGAGGCGCCAGCGCTTCCGCTGTGGCGCTTTCGCCCCGGCTCGCGTGGCGTGAACTCACAGCTTGCTGTCTGTTTATCCAGCGCGAGAACCCTTCCGAGTGCAGTCCACGGGGCGGGGGAGGCGATGGCCATCCATTTAAAACCAGACCCTGAACCCCCACTTCTCAAGGCGGATTATGAAATGGAAACTTCTGCAAAGTGGTTGTCGATGTTCGCCGTCGGCCCCGGGGGCCAAAGAGGCGTCCGTCCCCGCGAACCAGGGACACGCTTCTGACGCCAAAGCCTCCCGTGGAATCTGGAAGTTGGCGCCCTGGGAAGGGGGTGCGGGGTGCGGGCGCCTGGGCCGCTGGGGGCGCGGGGCCCTGACTTCCCCCGACGGACCCTCGCTCTGGCTCGCCCGCGGCGGGGCGCGTCCGCTCGGCTGGCGCGACGCCCAGAACCCCCTGGCCCGCGGCGGGCGCCCCGGGGCCCGGAGCTTCCCTGCCGTCCCCCGCCGCCGTGGAGTGGAGATGGCGCTCCCTGGAGGCCGCCGCTCCGGGCGGAGAACACGACGGGCGCTGCTGAGTCACTGCCCTGCGCCCAGCGGGGAAGCCGGTGCCGGGCGTTTACAGCAGGATCCACGCAAGGGTGGACGGGCGCGGCGGGAGGAGCGTTTTTATTGACGGGGAGCGGGGGGGGCGGGGGGTGCAGGAGGGCGCGGGGGGGCCGGGGGGCACCGGGGTACAGGGAGGTGCCGCCCCCTCCGCCATCCCGGGCCGCGGCGCCGTCCCCAGGGAGCAGGGCCTGCGCGTCCTCCAGCCTCGCGCGCCGTCCAGGGCTTTGCGCTGTTCAGATTCGGCTTGAAACTTCCAAGGACACGGCCCGGCAGCCGGGGACCAGCCTCTGAGGCGTCCATGGGTCACGGGCCCGCGGCACGCGGGAGGGCGCGGGGGCGCTGTGGAGGGCCCGGGGGCGCTGTGGAGGGCCCGGGGGCGCTGTGGAGGGCCGGGGGCGCTGTGGAGGGCCCGGGGGCGCTGTGGAGGGCCCGGGGCGCTGTGGAGGGCCGGGGGCGCTGTGGAGGGCCGGGGGCGCTGTGGAGGGCCCGGGGCGCTGTGGAGGGCCGGGGGGCGCCGTGGGGGGCCGGGGGCGCTGTGGAGGGCCGGGGGGCGCCGTGGAGGGCCGGGGGCGCCGTGGAGGGCCCGGGGGCGCCGTGGAGGGCGGGGGCGCCGTGGAGGGCCGGGGGCGCCGTGGAGGGCCCGGGGGCGCCGTGGAGGGCCGGGGGGCGCCGTGGAGGGCCGGGGGCGCCGTGGAGGGGCCGGGGGGCGCCGTGGAGGGGCCGGGGGCGCCGTGGAGGGCCCGGGGGCGCCGTGGAGGGCCCGGGGGGCGCCGTGGAGGGCCGGGGGGGCGCCGTGGAGGGCCGGGGGCGCCGTGGAGGGCCGGGGGGCGCCGTGGAGGGCCGGGGGCGCCGTGGAGGGCCCGGGGGCGCCGTGGAGGGCCCGGGGGCGCCGTGGAGGGCCGGGGGGCGCCGTGGGGGCGCCGTGGAGGGCCCGGGGGCGCTGTGGAGGGCCCGGGGCGCTGTGGAGGGCGCGGGGGCGCTATGGAGGCCGCGGGGGCGCTGTGGAGGGGCCGGGGGCGCTGTGGACGGCGCCCCGGCAGCGCCCGGGCTCTAGGAAAACGCCCGGTTGAAGCTGAATAAACGCGCTCCGAGGCCGCGGGCCCCGCTCCCACCCCCTGAACGTCTTTGACGGCTTCGCCCTCGAGGGGCCCCCGTGGCCGCGCATGAGGGGCGCAGGGGCCGCGACCCGGCCTCTGGCCACACCGGCCGCTCGGGGCCCCTTCCCGCCCGGACCCCGCTGACCCCGCACGGCCGCTCCGGCACCCGGACAGCCGCAGGCCGCCCGCCCCGGCGCCCCCGAACCCCCGGGCCCCCGGGCCCCAAACGCGCTGCGCACACGCACACCGCGCATGCGCGCACCCGGGCCGCCAGGGCTGGAGTCCCGCGGGACGGCGCTCCGGAGCTTGGCGCCTGAGGCTTGGAGGGGGCGGGGTGGTGGGCGGGGCGAGGGGCGGGTATTCCCAGGTGGGCGGGGCGAGGGCCGGGACGGGTATCCCGTGTGGGCGGGGCGGGGCGGGGTGTTTCCTTGTGGGCGGGGCGAGGGGCGGGGCGAAGGGCGGCCGGGCCCCGCAGTCGCGCGGGCGCTGGTGGAGGCGCCATGGAGGCCGGTTCGGGCCCGGCTCTGCGGCCGGCGGAGAACGGAAACTCGGCCCGGACGCGGCCGCCTGAGCCGGCGCCGAGCTCGGAGCGGGACCCGGACCCAGAGGCGGGCGCGCGGGCCTGGCCCGAGTTCGCGGCGCTGCACGGGCCCGCCCTGCGCGCGTCGGGGGTCCCGGAGCGCTACTGGGGCCGCCTCCTGCACAAGCTGGAGCACGAGGTGCGGCGGGCGGGGAGCGGGCGCGGGCCCCCCGCGGGCGGGGAGCGGGGCGCGGGCCCCACCCCGCGGCCGGGTGTGCCGGGAGGAGCCCCGGGCGGGGCGCGGGGTCCCGGCGCGGGGGGCTGGGGCGCGGGGGGCTGGGGCGCGGGGGGCCCCCGGCCTTGGCCGCGGCGGGACGGGGCGCGGGAGGGGGTGTGTCCCCCGCGAGGCGGGGGCGCCGGGCAGAGGTGACAGGAGCCGGGGCTCGGGACCGCCTGCGGCGCGCTGTGGGGCGTTTAGGGCGAGGTCAGAGTTGGGGGGCCTGAGGGCGACAGCAGCGCCCCTCCCGTCCCAGTCGGCATGGTGGACCGGAGCTCTGGTGGGCGTGCCTGTGTGGGCCCCGGCCCATGCCGGGGGGGGGGGACCCCAGCTGCGGAGACGCAGGCGGGAAGTTGCCCCAGACTTCAGAGCTGGAGTCCTTCAGCCTCCGCCTCCCCAGGGAATACAGGTACCCCAGAAGTTGTGGTCCTCGAATTCCTTCCTGTTTCTTTGGATGGGAGCCCCAAGTCACCCCCGTTTTTCAGAAAACAGCAACGGTGGGGGGTGGGGAAGGATGCAAAGAAAAGTGGTTTCCATAATCCTAGCCTCCTCGTGGTAGGACAGCTCCCCTCTGCTCAGCACCCCGCCCCCCCAGGGTCCTGGCCCGAGTGGACCCTGGTTCCTGGTCCTTTGGCACTGAAGTCGGGGCAGGGTCACCGGCCAGACACCGGGACCTTCTCCCTAAGTGGAGCCAGGCTCCCCACCCCACCCAAGGCAGCCAGAGCCCTGCAAGTGATGAGGGTGTCCCCTGAGCAAGGCTGCTGCACCCCTCCTCGGCCAGGTATCCCCTCCTCGGCCAGTTTCTGCGAAGTGGCCGGACCAGGTCCCTTCCTGTAGGAAACAGGCCGCTGCTGCAAGAGATACATTGTCGGGGCACCCACCTTGCCCCCCCCACCCCCGCCAGCATTTCCTGAGCACTTGTCCCAGCCTGTGCAGGGAGGGACCCCAGGCACTTGTGGGTGAGGATGAAAAGGTCCTGTGTGCCGGTGAGGTAACACCATGCCCGACGCCCAGCCTCTGCCCCGCAGGCCTCCCTGGCCAGTAAATCCTCCCTCGGGCAAGTCTGTGCCCGGGTCCCACCTGGAATGCGGGGCACAGGGAAGCAGGGATGGCACGAGATAAGTTACAGTCAGTGCCCAGCGCGTAGCGGGTGTTTGCCAGAGTGGAGGGTCCCCTCGCCCTGCTGAGGGGCCACCAGTGTTTTTCCATGCCCCCCCCCCACCCCGCTGTTCGGGCGGTGGCAGGCGGGGCAGTGAGTCACCACTTTGCCAGACCCAAACCTGCAGCCATTGTTCTGTGTGATGCCTGCGCTGTGGCCCACGTGGGGGGCACACCCCACAGGACAGCCCCTGAGGCCCGGCCACCCCCTGCTGCCTCAGAAGAAACCCATTCCCGCGGAGCCTGGGGAGGGCCCCACAGCCTCGGCACCTCCCGGCTGCACGGGCTTCTCAGGGTGCAGCCATTCCCCTTGGCTTCCTCCTTCGGGGCTTCTCCAGCCCAGCATGAAGGGCTGGGGTCACCCCCATTCACCGCTAGGGAGAAGGCAGGCCCTGTGGCCTTCACTGTGCCCCAGCCTCCCGTCAGGTTTGGGGAAGGCAGGCTGGGGACTTGGCCCTGTGCAGAGCCAGGGGTGTGACTCCTGCCCCTCCGAGGCAGCTCTTGTGACCGCTGAGCTGGAGTGGGACGTCGTGGCCTTGCCCGGCTCCGGGAGGCTCAAACAGAACCTAACACCTGGCTCCGAGGTCAGAGGGCCCGGGCTGCCCTGCTGCTGGCTTCTCTGCCCCAGGGCCTCTGCCCGGGCAGCCCCTCTGCCATCCAGCACCACAAGTTGTCACCCAACTCTCCCTTCAAAGCTGACCTCCGGCTGTCTCCTCCCTCACGTCTTCCCAGCGCCAGGCCCCTGCACGGTGTTTGGGTCCCTCAAGTGGCCTGGACCTTCCCTTCTCCGGCAGCTGGCAGCTCCCTGGGCAGGATGGCAGCGATTTATCGTCACACCGCAAAGGCCCGTCCTGCCCAGCTGCTTCTGCCTGAATGGGTGGCTGGTTCCCCGCTGCTGGGCTGAATCCTTCTGATGTTAATTCACGCGACGGGGTTTTAGGGAGCTCTGCTGAGTCCCTGCGGTGTGCCCACACTTGCTGTGCGCTGTTTTACTGATTTCATGCTGCTGTCCTGGGAGGTGGGTGTCCCCCTACCCGGGGGTGCCCATCCAGGCAAGCAGCGTCCGTAGCAGGTCCTTCCCGGGCGTGGGCGGAAGTTCTTCTGAGACCTTGTGTGTGGGGGTCACTCAGCCCCCCAGCAGCCCTCTGAGGTCGGGAGTCTGAAGCAGAGCGGTTCGGTGACGGGCTCAGGGCCACACAGGCCCACTCAGGCCCTGCCGACGTGCAGCAGACACACCTCAGCAGAGCCTCGCTGCGGGGCACACGTGGGGGCCAGTGTTGTCTTTGCCAGGGAAGCTCCGAGGCCCTTGTCCCTCTGCCCATTGGGCAGGGACCTGTGGACACAGCCCCAGGCCCTGTTGGGTGCGGATCTGGGCCCACACGGTGGCCGAGGAGACCGCACTCCTGTCCCCCCCGACCCTGGCTGTCTCAGCCGCCCTGGTGTGGAATTGTTCTTGGGATGTGAACTTGGGGTCAGACCCCTGGTCTCCGAGATCCCGACTCCATAAACCTGCGGCGTGACGGGAGCCTCCGCCTGCAGGTCACGCTCCCAGGGATCCGGGGCTGGACTCGGCACAATCTGGACACACACAGCCCCCTCCAAGCAGGGGGGCACCGCGGGCGCGTGGGCCAGGCCCCGTTCCCCGCCTGTCCTGCGGTGTGGGCGGTCGGGGCACCTCTCCCAGGGGTGTGTTTGTCCCTGAGGCCGGGGGTGGCACCCCCGCCTCCCCCAGAGCGGGGGCCGAGGCTGCAGGGAAGGGGTCAGGAGTGGAGCATCCCTCTGACACCCCCGTCTGCGGCCCCAGGTTTTCGACGCGGGGCAGGTGTTCGGGATAATGCAGGTGCAAGAAGCGGAGGATGAGAGCGCGGAGGCGGCCCGGGGAGAGCAGGAGAAGCCGCCCAACCCGGGTGGCGGCGGGCTCTGCTACAAGGTCATCGTGACCAACGAGGCCGGGCTGCAGGCCGCAGACCCCAACAGGTAGGTCCTCACCACCCACCTCGTGGCTTTCAGGGCCGGCTTCCTTGCAGGGCTGTCACCATACTGCTGGCAGCCGGAAGAGCAGCCCCTGGCCTACCGCCTGCGTGCCAGGCCCCGGGACAGCCGGGCGACGTGTTGGTGGGCTTCCCACCCCATTCAGGGTCCCATTGACCCCCACACGGAGGGACCCCGGTGTTGTCCATTCTCAACACCCGGAGAGCAGTGTCCCCGTGCCTCACTTAACTGTCATCAGCAGAGGTGCGACCAGTTCCATGTGGCTGACAAGGAAACAGGAGGGCCTGACCCGCGGCCACACGCCGGCTAGGGTGGGCATCAAACTAGGGCAGGATCTGCCAAGGCTCCCTGGCCTCTCTCAGGCCTGCTGCTTCTGAACCTCTGGGTGGGGCCTGAGAAACCGTAGTTAACAGATACCCCGGGGCTGAGCGCCCGGGAAGGTGGTAGTTGTGGCCTGGTGGACTCCGGGGCCAGGGGAGGGGACTGGACTGTGGCTGCCCTCGCCCAGGACGGGGCCCTGGAGGAACCCTGCCTGACTCGGGGTCGCTGGGCCCTGCGTCCATGGCTCTTTGGGGAAGGGCCTGGCCCCCTCTTCTGGAGCGTGTTCCCTCTGGGGCGGGAGGGGCCGGGTAATTGCAGTAGCCGGCACCCCCACCCACACGCTCTGTGACTCAGAAACTCCCAGGCTCACCTGTCTGGTTGAGCGCAGCGCACAGGCCTTCCCGGGAGGCTCTCTGCCTGCCCAGCCCCACCCCTGCCTGCGCGGTGAGTCAGGCCCAGCAGCCGCTGTGCAGCCCACAGCCTTCGCACTGCACCCCCACTGCCCCCGCCAGGTTTGGGAGCAGCTGGGGTGGGGTTCAGGGTTTGGGGCGCCAGCCTTGGTTTCAGCCTTCCCTGCCCCGGCCCTTCCCCTCCACGCCTGCTGTGTCCAGCACCCCTCCCCTGTGTGCGTCTGCCCAGGTCACCCTAGGGGCTCCATTTTGAAGATCTGGCTCCCTGTGCTGGCCACGTGCTCGTAACGCTCCGCAGTTTTGAAGACACACAAGCAAAAGCTAACGTTAGCACGATAAAACAGCTGCTGCCGAGCTCGCCGCCCAACCTCGGCACCAGAGCACCTGCTGTCCTTCCACTTAGGGGGCACAGAGGCTGGGGCGCTATGCCCAGCAGGGCCCCGGGTAGGGGCGGGCAGCCCTGTCCCGTGGGGTGGGGGCAGGCATGGCCTCAGGCCTGCAGTGGTACCCCCGTCCTCTGTGGCAGCCCCACTGCCGTCGTAGACACTTGCACGCTGGCCTCCCCCAGGGAAACCGAACTGGGGGTCGGGGGGCAGGCACTGCCAGGGAAGGACCGGGACTCAGGGGCTTGCATTTGTGGCTCTGGAGGCCCTGCTCTGCATCCCGCCACTGGCCCCCAGGCGAGTGACCTTTGCTTTGCCGGGCCCCTGCCGGCAGCAGGAGCGGCCGAGCCTGGACGTCAGCAGCTCCCCGGCTGGTGGTCATCCCAGCTCATGACCTGTGCTTGGTCAGGGCACTGGCGGCAGGCGCAGGTGTCGCCTGTTGTGACGCGGGCCGGGCACAGGAACTAGGCTGCACCGTGCATGGTGGGCAGCACGGGGATCCCCGCCCAGGCGCTCTGGACTCAGGCCCGCTCCTGTCTTAGGTGGGGCCATCACTCAGGTTGGGGGTCCTCCCTGGCCCCCACCTCGCCTCCTCCTCGGGTGACCCCGCTGGCCCTCTCCCCTGCCTTCCCTGCCCGGGAAGCACCCTCACCCGGCCCGTGGCCTGTGCCCACAGCATCTTCCTCATCGACCACGCCTGGACTTGCCGCATACAGCACGCCCGCCAGCAGCTGCACCAGGTGCCAGGGCTGCTGCACCGCATGGCCAGCCTGATGGGCGTCGAGTTCCACGGGGAGGTGCCCAGTGCTGAGGCCGTGGATCTGGTGCTGGAGGAGATGTGGAAGTTCAACCAGACCTACCAGCTGGCCCATGGGGTGAGCGGGACGAGCGGAGCCCTGGCCCGAGTTGTCGGGGCAAGAGTGGGCAGCGTAGGAGAACCCCAGCCCGGGGCGGTGACCCCATCCCTGGGCCCGCCCACCCTCGTTCCCTTCGGCTTCACCATGGACCTGTCCCCCCTTTGCCTTGCACCGTCCAGTGCTGAGACCCAGGTGTCCACGCAGCCTTGAGCTGCAGGACGTGCTCCTCCCTTAGACCCCCGCCTGGGGCCCAGTGGCTCGGCTGCCTCTTTCTCGGTCCCCTTACCCTCTCAGCGGCTCTCAGAGGTTCCGCGCCGTCTTCAGGAGAAAAGCCACCCCTCCTGCTCATGTCCTGGGCTTTCATCAGCCCTACCCCACCTCCCCAGACTCACCTCACGCCCCCAGCCCCCCAGCACTTCGAAAAGGACAAATGCTTGTCTCTTGGCATCTGAGCTTAGATGTCACCGCCTCCAGGGAGCCGTCCCTGAAACCACCCCAACCCCCACACACACAATCCAAACGTCATGTAGAGCCTCCGACGGTGGCGTGACCCATCGCAGTCCTCTGGCCTGTGTCCTGCTCCGGCAGGGCCGCCGTCCGCAGGCCCTGGGTTTAGGGGTGGGGATGCGTGTGACAGCTGCCCCAGACACGGAGGGCAGGGCCTAGACGGGTGGGTGATTGGGGTGGGCGTGCACAGAGAGGGCCAGGGTCTCCATGTATGCTCCCCACAGTCGGCCGAGGAGAAGGTGCCGGTCTGGTACATCATGGACGAGTTTGGCTCCCGCATCCAGCACTCGGATGAGCCCAGCTTCGCCACCGCGCCCTTCTTCTACATGCCCCAACAGGTGGCCTACACACTGCTGTGGCCCCTGAGGGACCTGGCCACGGGCGGTAAGTCAAGTGCCCGCGGCCGGAGGACGGGCCCCGCCTCCCGCCACCCTGACGGCCCGCGTGTCTCGGTGCAGAGGAGGTGACCCGGGACTTCGCCTACGGAGAGGCGGACCCTCTGATCCGGAAGTGCAGGCTGCTACCCTGGGCACCCGCCGACCTGACGGACCTCAGCTCCTCCACGCCAGAGCCGCCCGACCGGCACTACCAGGTGTGACCCTCTGCCCGCCCCCACTGCTTGGTTGCCCGGTGGCTTCTAGAACCTTCTTCACCCAGTCACCCAACAGTATTGAATAGCAGCAGCAACTGCAAGAGTTTGGAGCATCTTAAAAAGGGATTTGGAGCTCAGGTGACTGTGAGCTGCGGGTGGTCACAAGGCCTGGGCACCCACGGGAGCCTGGGCTGCGGGTGCTGCCCTGGGAGGCAGTGGTTTGGTGTGAATCCAGCCCAGTCTTGGCTCATTTCCTGACCCCTCCCTCACCGGGGAGGTGAAGATGCCCCTCGAACACCACATGTCCTTTTCCCACACTGGGCCCTCAGCAGGCAGCTGTCACTGGTGGCATGGACACAGGAGCTGTCCACGGCAGCCTCCCGCTCATACCCTGCCTGGCCCTGAGAGCAGCAGCAGGTGCCATGTGCGGGGCACAGAGCATGGGCCAGCGGGCTAGGGAGCAGGGACAGCGAGACCTGGGCCAGGGAGGAGATGGTGCCGAGAAGGACACAGCCACCACGGGCACCTGGCGGGGCTGGGCCCCTGGCCTTCTCCACCCCCTCGCCTCTGACTGCCTGCCGCTGCTTCCGCTGGCTGGTCCCTGTGGAACCAGGCGGCAGGGAGCCTGTGCTTAGCTCCTCGCGGTCATGCTCTGCTTAACCTGCAGCTTCTCAGTCCTGTTTTTATCTTCATCTCACTGAGGAGGAGGGACTGAGGCACAGAGAGGCTAAATCACTTGCTAAAGGTCACACAGCTGGTGGGAGAGCTGGAGTCCAAGGCCAGGGCAGGTGATGACCTGGGTGCAGAGGCTGCTCTGGACACCTTGGAGGGCCCTGGAAGGACCCAACGAGTTCACTCGTGTTGGAGGGGCGGGCCCTGTGCTGCTTGTGGCTCGTGAGGGCAGCTGGGCGGGTCCTGTGCACCTCGCCCAAAGACAGCGGGACTGAACGCTGTTGTTTCAGAGCCCGCTGCGCACCTGTGCCCAGGAGGTGCCCGGGGAGCACTGGACAAGGGAGCGCTGCACAGGGGCTTAGCAACGGCCTGGACAAAGATGAGTTTCTCCTGGGATGTCCTCCCCAGTTCAGGGAGAGAAAAGAGGCCAGACGCCACCCGTCTGACCTTTCTGGGTCTGATCTTTTGACCTGCTGACCCACCTGGATGGGCCTGGGGTTGCCAGTGTCCAGCCAGGTGACAGGTTGCCCCGGGGCATGGCCACTTAAAGCAGCCCCTGCACCTGTCAGATCAGGGAAGGGCTCTGGCTCAGGGCCTCTGCCAGGTGGGGCCGCCTGTCAGTGAGTGGCGTTAGCGCCTGCCCATGTGAGTGTCACCCCCACAGGGTACCGGCCGATAGAAAGGAGGGGAGACCAGCGCCCACTGCCCTGCTTGCTAGAAGCAGCCCAGCCACACTGGGGAGATGCAGTCAGCTCCCCCCTTTGAAGGGAGTCGACTAAGTGAAACCACCACATGCTGAAGCAGGGGGCAGCCCTGGGAGGCGCCCCTCGAAGCAGGCAGCCCCCTCCCCGGGACAGGCAGGGTGCCTTCTCGTGCACCTGATCTGGATGTAGAGTTGAGAAGTTTGCCAGCGTTTACACTCTCGTGACACAAAGCTTGACTGCTCAGCACTTGAGGGGCTCCACTTGGGGTCCAAGTGTGCCCTAAAACCCCCACATCCAGAGGGAAGACCTCTGTTCCCTTGCCCCCAGCCAAAGGTCTGTCTCGAGCTCTGGTGTGTTTCTCTCTAGGCCATCTTAGAGGAAATCAAGGAGAAGCTGCCGCTCCCCATCAGCCCAGCACCCTATCCCCACGACCACATCTTCAAGTAGGTCACCCCCTTCTCTGCTCACGGTGAGCCCCCCTCATCACTGTCCTCACACAGCCCCCACATTCTAGGAACAGGCCTGACACACCGAGGCACTCAGTGCACCTGCCATGCCCTGCCAGCATGGTGGGGACAGAAACCCCAGTGAAGTTCTCAGGAGGGCAGAGCTCCTGAAGGAGGCAGAGTAAACACTGCTCTCCAGGACGAGGGATCGCCCGCCCGTCCTGTGCACAGAGGGTCACTCCCCAGCTTGTCCTCCGGAGGGCTCTGCTCAGCCGGGTGCTCCCGTGCACCCTTCTCTGGCCCCGGGAGTGAAAACTACACACACCGGCCCCTCCCCAAAGCAGGCACCTGCTGAGCGTGGATTTGTGGGTCCCTGGGGACTGCCCTGGGCCGCCGGGGGCCCTTCCAGGTGTGGGCAAGCGAGTTATGTAAGGCCGAGCAGGCAGGCCTAGGCTGAGTCCCACGTGGAAACAGGCACCCCACTTTCCAAGCGAGGAAGTGGAGGTGAGTGCCCTGCCGCCCCATGTGGACGGGCTTACAGCAGGCCCCAGGGCAGCCGGGAGCAGACTGGGCTCCACCCTCCCTGCGCCCCCTCCCTCTGGTGCCAAGCCTGGTTCAGCCAGAGATGGGCAAATGCCCCTGCCCCCCCACACACCTGGGGCTCACCCATTCGGCCCAGTTGTGTCAACCCAACCTCTGTGCCCGTGGGGGGGGCGGCGAGCTGCCTTTGCTGGGCACTCAGATCAGCCTGTGTGGTCCTCGTGGCAAGGGTGAGCTGGGCCGACCCAGGGCCGACCGGGGACCCATCCAGAGTCGGTTGGCTCCGGCCTCGCCCTCTCACGTCCGTGGCGGGGCCCCCACTTACCGCCTGTGCCTGCAGGGTCTACACGGACATCCAGCAGGTGGTCGGCCACCTCACCCACCCGCGCTTCACCTTCACCCAGAGCGAGGCGGACGCGGACATCCTCTACAACTTCTCGCACTTCAAGGACTACAGGTGAGGGCACCTCTCGGCCCAGACCCCCCGCGCCAGGCCCCCAACCCCCGCCCGCCTAAGCCCGCGCCCGGCCTCCCGCAGGAGGCTCAGCCAGGAGCGGCCCAACGTGCTGCTGAACCAGTTCCCCTGCGAGAGCCTGCTGACCGTGAAGGACTGCCTGGCCTCCATCGCCCGCCGGACGGGGGGCCCCGAGGGCCCGGCCTGGCTGCCCCGCACCTTCAACCTGCGCACCGAGCTGCCTCAGTTTGTCAGCTACTTCCAGCAGCGGCAGCAGCAGTGAGCCCCGCCCCGCCCGGCCCCGCACGGCTCACCTCCCCACCCCCTCATCCCACCCGCCTGGCTGATGTCCCCCGGTGACCCTCCTCAGCTCCCCAGGGGAGGTTGGGTGCCCCGCCTCTTCCTCCATGCTCCTGGGGAGTGCACCCTGGGGGGGTGGGTCCAGGGCCCAGTCTAGCCAGCCCTGTCCCCAGGGGCGAGGACAACCACTGGATCTGCAAGCCCTGGAACCTGGCTCGCAGCCTGGACACCCACATCACCCGGAGCCTGCACAGCGTCATCCGGCATCGTGAGAGCACCCCCAAGGTGGGCCCGTGGCTCGGGCAGCCTGGCCACCCAGACAGGGCGCCCGCGGGGTGGGGGGCCCGGTGTTGGCAGTCACTCAGCTCCCAGAGTCCCTGAAGCCCCCACCCCTCCTGCCACGGCCCTTGCAGCAGGGCGGGGCTGTGCGGCAGGAGGGAGCCGTCCTGCGTGTCTGACCTGCGTCCCCTCGCACGGCACCTCCTGTGACTTCCCCGCAGGACGGAGGTGGCCAGGCCAGGGAGGCCCTCGGGGCAGCAGCTCACGCATCCGACAGCAGCAGAGAACTCCCCGGGTGGCCATGGAGACCAGCAGGGGGAGGGGGTCGTTGCCCGGAACTCGTGTTGAGCTTTCAAAGCCGGCCGGGCGGGGAGGCTCTTCCCTCGTTCCCAGGGGACGGTGAAGCTCTCGGCCACCTCGGGGAGCTTCAGAGAGGCAGAGGAGGCAGCCTCGTGCGGGGTGCGGTCCTTCCCTGGACGTGGATCCGGGGGACCCAGGGTGGCGGGTCATCCCCCCAGTGGCCCGGGCTCCGGCCGCCGCCGCGGGCACGCACCGGGTGGAGTGCGGGCCGGGGCCCGTGGCGCTCTGTCCGGCAAGGTGGCCGCCTGCGAGCCTGCACCCTTGTACTCCAGGTTGTGTCCAAATACATAGAAAACCCCGTCTTGTTCCTTCGAGAAGACGTGGGCAAGGTCAAGTTTGACATTCGCTACGTCCTGCTCCTGCGGTCGGTGAGGCCCCTGCGCCTGTTCGTGTACGACGTCTTCTGGCTGCGCTTCTCCAACCGGTTCGTGGGGCCGGCGGGGCTGGGGGCTGGGCCCGGGCCCTCTTTCACTCGGGGTCAGAGCCTGCACTGCAGCTCCCTCCACGCCACACACCAGCGGGTGACCGGTCCTGTTAGGCGGCAGTGGTTTGTCCTCCCCAGTGGGCATTCCTTGTCCAGTGGGTGCCCACGCCTGGGGGTCAGTTGGGAGGACGGTTCTGAACCTGCACAGGGTCGTCACAGCCAGCCTGGCGCTCACCCCCACCCAGACTCGGGTGGACCACACCCCCCGGCCCTGGTCAGGGTACCTGCACCCACGCAGCCAGGGGCACAGCCATGCTCAGCGCCCAAGCCAGTCTGTCTGCTGTGCCCCAGGCCCTTTGCGCTGGACGACCTGGACGACTACGAGAAGCATTTCACCGTCATGAACTATGACCCGGAAGTGGTGCTAAAGCAGGTAGGCCTGGGGCGCCTGAGAGTCCATGTGGAGGCTGGCACAGGCCACAGGCCCTTTGGGATCCCCTGCCCCCCGCTGCACCTCCTTTCTCAGTGGGTCTTGTTCTGAGATGTGGTGCCCAGTGTCTCTGCAGGACACTCTTGTCATTCACTGATTGATCAATGGACATTTAGGTCATTTCTGGCCTTCCATCCTCCATGAGCCAGGCGTGTCGAGGGCCTCGCTGTCCTACGTCCGGAGGTCCTGGGGGCAGGCCCAGGAAGGGTCAGGCTGGCTGTCCCCGGTGCCCCCGGCAGGGGCTGTCTCCTCCGGGCCGGGCGGAAGGCTGCCCCTGGGGCCCGAGCCCTCGCGGGGCCTCAGGGTATTGGGAATTACCGTGAAGCACTGGGTGCCTCCGCGCGGGGTCGGGAGGGTGTCACCCCGGGGTCACAGTCCTCGGAAGTCCTTGCGTCCAGCATGTCCACCAGGGCATGAGCTCGGGGTGTCCTCTAGCTGAGGAAGCAGCTGTCCCGGGTGTGTGAGTGGCGCCTCGGCCCGTACCTCACATCCGCCGGCACATGGAACGGTGCCGCGCATGAGCCTCCATTCCGAGACAGGCATGGTGGCAGCTGGCCCCGGCCTTGCAATCCCTCACCTCGCCTGAGCTCACGGTGACCCTGCAGACCAAGGCCAAGTTTGCTGGGCAGGGGGCACCTTACAGATGAGGAACCTGAGCTCCCAGGAGGAAAATTGCTCGTCCAGAGTCGTGCCGTGGTATCCAGGGCTGGAGCCTGGCTCCTGCCCCCAGTCTGTGCCGAGGGGGAGGGCCAGGCGGGCCGGCTGCTCTGACCCCTGGCGAGTGGGGGGCGCCCTGCCCGGAGGAGCCAGGCCAGGGGTGATGGCCTGCGTCTGCCACAGGTGCACTGCGACGTGTTCATCCCAGAGTTCGAGAGGCAGTACCCCGAGTTTCCCTGGAGCGGTGTCCAGGTGAGTCCTGGGTACAGCTGGGAGGCTTCCCCCAGGGGACAGGTGGGGGGCAGGATCTTTGTCTCCCTGGATGGTCCTACCGAGGCTGGTGAAGGAAGCTGGGGGGGCGGCGTCCCCGTGCCCACTCTGGCCATGTGAGGTGCTCTGGAGGGGCGCTCAGGCACGTGGGCAGCAGAGCGTGGCCCCCAGGACGGGAGGTGCTTCTTGGAGCTCCTGGGGGCAGAGGGGTCTGCAGGGCCCCGCGGCAGGGGACACGGGCTTATTTGGAGGACACTGCCGGGAGCGAGAGGGGGCACGTGGCGGGCAGAGTGGCCTCGGCCAGGCCTGGAGACACAAAGGCTGTAGGAGAAGGTGACCGAGGCCGTTTGGGGACTGGGGCTCAGAAAGAGGCAGTGAACCCCATTTGGGAGGCTGCGCTGGGGCTGGTCCCAACTTCAGAGCCGTGCAGGCCCCCTGACCCTGCCTCCTGGCCCCCAGGCCGAAATCTTCCAGGCCTTCAAGGAACTATTCCAAGTGGCTTGCGCCCGGCCGCCGCCCCTGGGCCTCTGTGACTACCCCTCGTCCCGGGCCGTGTACGCCGTGGACCTCATGCTGAAGTGGGACAGCCGTCCAGACGGTGAGCCCCCGCCAGTCCCAGGCACAGCCCCCAAAGCCGACCATCTGGCCGCGCCCCACCCCAGGACAGAGAGAGGGATCCCCGCTTCCTGGCCCTGGCCAGCCATGCACTGGGTCGAGGGGACCCTCACCAGCTGGGCCCGCAGGACACAGTGAGAATGGAGGGGGTGCTGAGGGCCCACCACGAAGACCCCCAGGAGAAGGGCGGAGGGAGGGGGCAGCCAGGCACACCCAGTGCCCTGCAGCGCATCCTGCCTGGGGACCCCAGGCCAAGCCCACCGTGCTGGGCCCTGAAGCTCTGCTCCCCCTTTTCCACCACACTGAACACCTGCACCCCGGTGGGGCCCACGTCACTCCCGAGGCAGCTCCACCTTCTCGGCATCCCGAGGCCCTGGCGCTGGGCCGGCACCCGGCCCCTCCCCCCAGCTCCCGCTGCCCCGTGCCCACAGGGAAGCAGGTGATGCGGCCCCAGATCCTGGAGGTGAACTTCAACCCCGACTGCGAGCGCGCCTGCAAGTACCACCCGGCCTTCTTCAACGACGTCTTCAGCACCCTGTACCTGGATGAGCCCGGCGGCCACCACGTCACCGCCCTCCTCTAGGCGCCCCCCTGCAGGCGCCCCCCTCCAGGCCCTCGCCCTGCCGCGTCCGAGCTCTCCTGCCAGGCCCCCCTTCCTCCGCCCCATCTCCGTTCCTCGCCCCGGCTTCGCCCCTGGAGGTGCAGCGCCCTCCTGCCCACAGGGGTCAGAAGCAGGGCCAGGCACGGTGTCCCAGGCCTGAGGGCCACTCCCCTCGCAGCCTCAGTGCCACCAAGGCCTTCGTTCCAGAGCGTGGCTTCCTGGCTGCCACATTTGCTTGGATGTAGTGAAAAGAGGGCTTCTGGGGTGCATGAGGCAGTGTCCCCAGAATCAGGCTTCCATGGGGGGGCCCATGAGCAGCCTGACTCCCCAAGGCGGGGCAGGGTCTCACCACACCCCCATCCCGTGCGACAGCATCCCCAAAACCCCCTGCAGAAACTGCCCCCAGACCCAGCCTTCTCCAGCTCAGCCAGAGCCTCCACCGGGACCCACCCGGGAGACCCCGGGGCAGGAGGCCACCCGGTCACCTTTGCCTTTCGGCTGCCTGGCCCTGCTGCCTCCCTGGCCGCTGGCCCTGCCCCCTGGGATGCCTGCGGGGAGGGCGCGGGCAGCTGCGGAGGGCGGCAGCCACGAGGCCTGCCCCCCAGCAGCCAGAGTCAGAATGTCTGACTTTTGTTACTTTTGAATTTATGGGGGGAAAATGGAACATTCTACGACTTTCCTTACTCTTGTTTCTGACTTTGGACCGTGAGGCGGGCCCTGGGCAGGGGGCACTGCCAGCTGCTGTGTGTGCCATGGCGGCGGGCAGGGCCCATGTTGGAGCCAAACTGGACTCGACCGCCTGCGTCTGTCTGTCAGGTGCGTCTGTCCGTCGGGTGCGTCTGTCTGTCTGTTAACTGCAGTCTCAGTCCTCTGCTGGGGTCCCTGCCACCCCTCAACCCAGTTTACTCCGCAGTAAAGTTGCCTTCTTGACTTTCGGGGCCCTGGAGCCCGCGCTTGTTGACTGCTTTGTGGGTGGTGGGAGAAAACCTGAGGTGCTGAGCTGTGTGTGTCCAGCAGCCGGAGAAGGGGTGACCTAGCACCCCCTCCCCCGCTTACACTCGGGACTGGGGCAGGGGCTGCTTCCTCAGAGCTCTGAGCCCCGGGGCCCACGGCACCCCCAGGCACAGGTCTGTGCCTGGTGGGCGTCTCGCCACGGGCGCTCCCTGCGGCTCCTGCCGGGCACTGAGCCCGTGGGGAGGGCCCCACCCTCGCGACCCAATTTCCCAGACGCGCCACCTGATAACCCCCCAGTATTTCAGGGGTAGGGGTTCAACATGGATTTGGGGGACACACTTGGACCCCAGCAATTCCCGGAGTCTCCCCGGAGGCTCTGAATCGGGGCTCCCGCTCTCACACCCCCTGGCTGCGGGGAACAGAAGGTCCTCAGGCCTGGCTCCGCCCCGGGGCAGGGATCCCCACTACTCCGGGGGTCCTGGTGGGTCTGAGGGCACGGCTGGCCAGCACGGTGGCGCCCCCTAGAGGCCGGGGGTTAAGGCGCGGGAGAGGCAGCGGGCGGGGCGCCGGGACCCCACCAGGCCTTTCCCAGACGGCTGCTCACGAGGCCCCGCGGCCGCGCCTGCCCGCCCCTTCGGGGAGCCCGACGGCTGGACACTCGGAGCCGCAGGCCGTGGCCCCGGCATCGCGGCCACGCGCGCTCCCGCCTCTGGCCGCCCTCGCTGGACACGGGACGCCCCGCCGCAGCCATGACGCGGGGCTCCCCCGAGGCTCGCCGCGCCCGCGCCCCCGGGTCCTTCCTGGACGGGCCTCCCCGAGCCGCCTCCCGAGGCGCAGACGTCGCTGGAGCCGGGGCCTGGCGCTGCGGGCATCGGGGCCGCCGGGAGGGGCCAGGGGCGGCATTAGCTGCCCTGAGGAAGAACCCCGAGGGCGCGTCTGAGGGCGCCCAGGGCGCGGCCTTTCCGGCGCAGAGACCGCCCGGGAGCGGCCAGCACGGGTGCCCGCAGCGGCCAGGAGGCCGGGCGGGGCTTCGATGACCCTGGCTCGGCTCCCGGCCCGGCTGCCCGCGCTCCTGGACGGCTGCGGCCCTCGGGCGCCCCATGGAGAGCGCGGGAAAGAGGCGCCGGCCAACGCCAGCGTGGGGGCGGGCGGCGGAGAGAGCCCCGGACCCCGGGAGGCGCCATCTGCAGCCCGGTGAGTGGGGGCGGGGGGGCGGAGAGGAGACGGCGCCGGCGCGCATCCTGGCCTCGCCGAGTCTCCCCGAGTCTCCCCAGCACCGCCGGCTGGGGCGGCGTGTCTGGGGCTCACCGTGTCCCCCGACCTCCCGGGACCTTAGACGTGACCTTCAAAGCAGGACGGGCAAAGGCCCCATCCACGCCCCCCAGCAGCCGGCCAACTGCTGTCTGACACCCTCCCACCGAGTGGGGTGCTTGTGGGGCGCCCCTCCCGGCTTGAGGCTGACCTGCAGCCCAGGGGGGCAGGTCAGGAGCCGTCCTGGCCTCTGAGCCCTACCCCTCGAGGCCCAGGCCAGCTGAGGGCCCTTGGGGCCTGGCCAGAGCCAGATTCGGACCAGGCAGCCTGCCGAGAGCCTGGGCTGAGCTTCCGCAGGTGGGAACGGAGCGGCCTGTGGCCTCAGCGCACACCTGAGGTCGCACCCTGGCCAGGCCGGCGGGCAGCAGGACGGGTGGGTGCTCTAGGGCCAAGCCGGGCTGCCCCTCCTCGCAGCCTCCCACTGCCCCACCCCGGGCAGCCCTCGCCCTCTGGCAGGCCCTTGGGCGGTCCGGAGAAGCGTGGGAGGCAGCCCTGGCCAAGTCCTGGCTGGGGGTGTAGAGCCCGTGTAGGGCAGGCCCCTCCCTCTCCCCGCAGCCAGTCCCGCGCGTGAAAAGGCCACCGCCAGGAGGTTAAAAACTTTATTTGGCTTATAAAATTCTACGTTCTGAGAAGGAGCTTCAAGCAGTGGGGAAAGCGCCGACTGCCGGTCCCAGTGGGCCTCAGCCTGGACCACCTCTGAAGCTGCTAGTGACCCCCTGGGCTGAGAACCAGACAGACCAGCCCGTCCCGTGGTCGGGAAAGCACGAGGGCCTCGCCCTCAGCCTGGCAGGCAGGGGCTGCGGTCCCCGGAGGGCCGGCCCTCACTCTGCGAGCCTGCGGCCTCCACGCCAGCCACGGTTGTCCCTCCACACACAGTAGTTGAGTGCGGCCGCAAAGGCCAGCCAGGCCAGGTACGGGTAGAGCAGGCGGGCGGCCGGTGGGCTCACCCGGTGCCAGGCCACGGCCGTGGCGGCCGCCACCCCACCGGTCAGCATGAGGTCCGCCAGGGCCTGCGAAGACAGGGGGAGGGGCACGGGGATGCCTGAGGATCCAGGGCCCTGGAGTGGGTGTCCCAGCTGCCCGCCCACTGCTGCAATCCAGGGAGCCCCCCATTCCATGCCCGAGTGACCTAGCCCAGCACGTCCCCTGGTCTCTGCCTCAGTTTCCTCATCTATAAAATGAGAACAATCAGCCCTGCCTGACCCAGGCCCTGTTGGGGGGGTTGTGCAGGTATAATGTGGGTTTCCCTACACAGTGGCCCCTAAACCAAGCCAGCAACCCCATCCAGCTCCAGTCAGAGCCCCATAAAGCTTCCTTCCCTGGAGAATAGCCAGCCGGGGACTCCACTGAGGGGCTCTGGTCCCCTATGAGCTCCTGAGGAGATGCTGACATGGGCCATGGGCCTCCCCAAGGGAGGGCTCCCCCCCACATCATCTCCAGGGACAGGAAGACAGACCAAGGCTGCACTTACCCAACCCATTTGTCGGTTGCCAAAGAAGATGGGAGGCCACGCCCAGTTCAGGGCCAGCTGCCCAGTGTAGAGGCCCAGGGGGACCACCGCCTCCTCCGAGAAGCCCCCCAGCTCTTTCCAGATCATGTAGGAACCATACCTAAAACAGAGGCTGCTGTCAGGGCCCCAACAAGGAGAAGGCCAGGCCAGGCCAGGCCAGGGAGCCACTTCACCTCCAGGACAACACAGTGATGGCCCAGGCACACCCTCCACTGACTGCTGTGTGACCTCAGGGAGACTGCTTGACCTCGCTGAGCCTTCATCTCTCACAAGGTTGCTATGGGGATCAGTAGTACCTCGGGCAGTGCCTGGAACATGGGACACTCGATAGATGTTTACCAATATTATCATCCTCTGTGTTGTGAAGGGGAAGCACATGAGGCGTGTGAGTGAAGAGGAAGCTCCTAACCTACCCCAGTTACTGCACAGAGGATGATGGGAACTTGGGCTGGGCCTTAGAGGATGAACAGGAGTTCGCCAGGGGAAGGAAACAAGGATCGAGGGAGGTGTGAGGCTCTACATCAGCCCCTGTGCGGGAGGGTGAAGCTGGGAGGCCGCTTCGGGGAGGTGAGGCTGCAGAGGTGGGTGGGACCTGCCCAGGGGCCTCCTAGTGTCACCAGGGTAACAGCAGCAACAATGATAGCTGAGGCCTTCGGCACCTACTCAGGCCAGGCCCTGCCCCTGCCCCTGCTCTCGCCGAGACTGACTCATCTCAGCCTCACGTAAAGCCCTGGTGGGCCTTATTGAGGAAATTGAGGCCCAGAGAGGGGAAGTGACTCTCAAAGACCTCTTGGCAGATGACCCTCGCGCAGAGCCAGGATTTGACCCAGGTGTGGGGGCCAGAACCCAGCTCGTTAGTGCCTGAGGGTTTGACCCCAGCAGGAGCCTCCTGTGGCCTCAGGAGGAAGAGGTGGGGCCACATTGGGCTTTATCAGGCCAGGAGCTGGAGGTGGAGGACAGCCAAGGGGTGGGGGAGGAGGGAGCCTGGAGGCTGGAACTGGCTGAGGCAGAAACAGTGGTCCCCAGGCCAGAAGGGGGGAGGGGGGAGCAGGACACAGGAATTGCTGGGAGCCTGATGGCTGGGGCTGGAAGGGGTGGCTCCCTGGCTTGAGACTGTCTTATTCCCATCAGAAGCCTGGGGCACCCAGCCTGACCTCCTGTGTGCCTGGTGCCTGCCCACCCTGCCCTGGGCTGATGGACCAGACACTGAGAACATTCCGGAAAAAGGGCTGGGCACTGACCACATCCCCTGGATGCCATTCCTATTGTAGACACCAGGGGGCACCCTCCCACCCAACACTTTCCTCTCTGACCACGGTGAGGTCCAGCCGAGAGTCCCTGTGGTTTGGACCGGCCATCCTGTGTCCTGGGGAGACTCCCTTGTCAAATAGGGGGTCCTGGGAATTAACCGACTTAGAGCTGGTGCAGAGCAGGTGCCCGGAGAAGGGGGCAGCTGCTGCTAATTGCTGTTGCTGCTACTGCTATTGCCCTGGAAGCACACTCATCTGAACTTTGCGCACGGAGCCTGTCTCACCCTGGAGTTGTGAAAACAGTCGGGATGCCAGTGTGGGCCGGAGCCCGCCCCTCCCGGAGGCACCACACAAAAAAGTTCAGTTGTGCAACCAGCAGCTTTCTCCACCCTCACTTGCCAAACCAGGCCTGGGAAATGGTGCCGCTAGCCAAGAGTCACCTGAGATCCGCAGCCCAGAGGAGCAGCTCTGTCCGGGGCCCTACCGCCCACCAGGGGAGGCCGTGCCCACCTACCCCATGGCCGAGTACAGCGTGCCCCAAATGGGGCCCAGCGTCCAGTGGGGCGGGTGCCACGCGGGCTTCTGCAGGGCAGCGTACCAGCGGAGGCCCTCTCCACGGGCATAGTGGGAGGCCAGGAAGCCCCCCAGGCTGGGCACCAGTGTGAAGCCCACCGCAGGCACCCAGGGCGGGGCCATCACTGCTGCAGCTGCTGTCCCTAAAAGCTCTGAAAGAGAAGAAAGACGGGTAAGGGTGGGGCGCTCCAGAACTGGAGGAGCGTTTCCCCAGGACCTACTGTGTGCAGACCCAGCGTCAGGCCTGTGGTCTCTTCGGTGTCACTGCAAGTCCTGGGTGGTCTGTTACCGCTCCGATCCAGCCAGCGCTGACCCATCCAGCGAGTGAAGGGCCAGGAAGAACGGCAGGCGGGGCCGTTCACAGCACCACCCGCCCCAGGGTTGCGGGACTCAGGTCCACCCCAACACCCGGCCCTGCCCTGAAGGCTGCCCGGTGCCTTCGTGGGCTACACTCAGCTTCTGCCCCAGCTGCCAGGGTCCTGTGCTCGAACCTTCACCCTGACCTTGGGTCTCCTGGCAAGGAACCCCTCCTCTTTGCCACCTCAAAGCCAGTTTGGGAGCCCAGTGCCACCGGGAGCTGCGGGAGGCCTGCACAAGTCCAGTCTAGGCCTTAAGCTCAGGGACTTCTCATTCCTGCCTTCATCCTCACCCCTCTCCATGCCTGCAGGCATCGTGCCTCATTCACCTCACGGCATTCACCTCACGGCATTCACCTCACGGCATTCACCTCACGGCATTCACCTCACGGCATTCACCTGCCAGCAGAGCTTTGCTCAAACCGATGCTCCCCACTGACACACTGTGACCTCAGGCACATCATGTCAATTCTGGGCCCAGTCTCCCCCTCCTCAGGGGGCCGGAGTGTCTCTGTAGACAGGCCCACCCTAAAATCCCCACCCCTTCCCTGCAGGCCAGAGAGGGGGTCACACAGCACTGGGGCCAGGCTTCGCCTCAGAGGGGAAGCTGCTCACAGCCTGAGGCCCAGGGCCACTGAGGTGTGGGGGGAGAGACAGGGTTGCTGAGGCTGGCAGGATGGGGCAAGGAAGCTTCCAGCCTCCGCCTAGATGCTGTTACCCCCAGGCAGGGGCAGAGGGATTCCGGCAAGTGGCTTCTCATCGGCCATGCCCTCTTGCCCCACAGTCCCAAGGTCTGTGCTGAGCACCTACGAGGCGCCCAGCAAGCTGAGCTGCTCGCTGAGGCTGAGCCCTGTGAGCCGGCAAGGGGGCAGGGCCAGGCCTGGAGTCTGGGCCCAGATCTGTGATGGGCCAGGAGGCGGCCTCCCGTCTGCACTCCCCTCCCCGGCTTCATGTCGCCCTGTCACAGCACCTGGCCGCTGCCCAGAAGTCCCACACAGGACTCAGGACACGTGCCCCAAGTTGGGAGCCGTCCAGGGAGCTTCCTGGCCTCCGGAGACAGCTCAGCTCTTGAATCACTGACCGGGGCACCCACCAAACTGAGTCACACTGGCCCCGGCCGGGCAGGGCGTCTGGCCCAGGCGGGCCTGAGAGATCCACTCTGGGATGGAGCACCCGGGAGGGCTGGGAGAGCCGGGGCGGCCCCATGGCCAGGAAGAGGCCAAGCGCACACCTACCCCTATCTTTCTCTCCAACAGAAGGGGACTGAGAACACAAACCTGAGCTTTGCCTCCAATTTGCCTGGTGAAGTCGGCCAGCGTGTGTCCCTGGGCCTCACTTTCCACCTTCTGCCCAGCTCCAGAAGGTTCTCTTCAGGCCAACAACGTCTGTGCGGCCCCAGAGCCAACATCCCAGCCTCACGGGAGTCAGGCCCCCGGCCGGCCCCCGGGGCAGGTACAGGGTCGGCCCTCGCCCTGCACCTCAGGCTGCAGCCCAGGGTCCCCGCTCCAGAATGCGCCCCCTCACCAGGAGGCCGGACCCACCGCCCTGGGGCCTCCCCTCCCAGGCCTCTGTTCCCTCTGCGAAGTGGGGGCTGAGCCAGTGCGGGTCTGGGGGTCACCCTGCTCGCCGAGGCCTCCCCACACAGCACACCTGCTGCCCAGAAGCAGGAGAGTCCTGCCCTTTCTCCCCACTCCGGGCGCTGCTCCCCCTGGCCTCGGCTCTCCCCAGAAGCCACCACCGTCCCGGGGACTCTGTTTTGAAAGAAGACTCCCCGCGTACACACCCCCACAGCACACACACCAGACATCACAGCTCACGACACACGCGCCACACTCACCACCAGCGCACCGTGGACACCCCACACAGGTACGCCCCAGGCGCACACGTCACCCGAGCGCACACACCACACCAGACCCCCCCACGAGGCAGAGGCGGTGCCCCCCCACTTGTGGATGGGCGAGACTGGACAGCAGGTCACGGGGCTCTGCACCCGCCAGCCCCGGCCGCGGACCCCGGGCAAAGGTTCCTGGTGGCCTCAAAGGTTCCCGGGGTCCAGGATCCCCCGCCATGCTCCGAGGGCGCCGATCCGCCTGCCTCCTGCTCCCGAGGGCCTGCGACACCCCCTGACCTCTCGGCAGCCCGCCCCGGGCCAGGGGTCCCCACGTCACCCCCGGGGAGCCTGCACCCTCGGTCCAGGCGCGGCCTAGGCCAGGGACCTGCGAGGGCCAGGCATGCTGGACGGGGCTCCCGCCCCCGCCCCTGACCCGCCGCTCGCGGGGGGCAGCCCAAGGCCTCCCGCGCCCCCACCCAGGCGGGAGGGCCGAGGCCGCGGGGCCCCAGCGCCGCCCACGCGCCACCCGCGACCCTCCCCAGCGCCTCGGCGCCCGGCGGTCCCGGGGTGCTGGGTTCGCGCCCCGCCCCAGCTCCGGGCACCTGAGCGGGTCTGGAGACCCGGTTCCAGGGCCCTGCGGGGCCTTAAGCGGCTTTGGGCAAATGACTCCTCGTCCGGCGTGGGTTTCCCCTGCTAGAAATGGGGTGTCTCCGAGGCCCGGCTCGGCGCCCCGCCCTCCCCAGCCGCTCATCCGCCCAACGGGCAACGGGCGGGAGCCGGGTCAGGCTCCACCCCCGCGGGTGCGGCGGGCGGTGCAGAGGGGCCGGCGGGCCGCGGGGGCCCGACTTCCCCTCCCGGCGCCCCCACCGGCATCCGGCCCGCGGGGTCCCCTAGCAGCCAGGGAGGGGCGCCGGCCCCCGCCGCGACCCAGCAGCCGCGCGCCCGGGCTGCCCGCGGCCGCCCCCTCGGGGCCCGCCCGGCTCGGCCGCCGCAGCGCGCGCCCCAGCCTCCCCGCGGGCCCGGCGCGGGGGCGCAGCGGGGCGTCGGGGCCCGGCCGCCAGCCCCGGGGCGCCCGTCCACTCACCCGCGACGGTCTCCGGGAAGGCTCTGCGCCCCGAGGGCCCGCCCCGGCCGCGAGGCCCCGCCCGGCCCCGCCCGCCTGGCTGGACGCCCGGGGCCGCCGCCCGCCGCGACCCGCCCGAGCCCAAGCCCGGCCCCCGACGACGCACCCCTCCTCCCCGCGGGGAGCGGCGGCGCGCCGGGTCTCCTGGGCGCCCCCCCCTCCCCGTCTGTGAAGGGGGCGGCAGAGGCGGGCGGGGTCACGTCGCTGCCAGCAGAGGCCTGGGCGTCCCGCTCGGCAGCGTCCCTGGCCCCGAGGGGGCGGGAGGGGGCACCGGGCGCCTTTCCTGTGCGCTGGGCACCTAGTCCTGGCGCAGCCTCTTTGTGACTGCTTGGCCTCCTTCCCCACCTGGAAATGGGCGCAGCACAGGGGGCCCAATGAGGATGCTGCAGGGGGTGCAGGCAGGCCCCCCTCCTCACATGCTGGCACTGGGGGAGTGGTGGCGGCCAGAGGGGACCCCTGGTTTGCTCCCACTCATGGGACAGGCGTGCCCAGCCCCAGGCCATGAGCATCTCGCCTCTTCCTCTGCACCCACTGCTTTGTGCCTGCACCCCCAGGCCTCTGCTGGCCAGCTACCTTCAGCTGACTTGGCCTGGCAGGGTCCCTCAGCTCGCAAGTGCCCAAACTGGTCCTCCCTGGGCCAAGGTGAGCTGCAGCTACATCTCCCCAGGGACAGCGAGCTGGCACCTCCCTGGCTGGCCCCTGACTCCCAGGCCTGGCCTGCTGGCCACCCAGGGCCTCCGTGGGCTGTGCTGGTATCGAGAGAGTTGTAATCCAGGCTGGGTTTGAGGCGTCTTCCCCCCTGGTTTTAAAAGAAAGTAAAACACTGCAAGGCCTGCGACCCTGGCACTGCCCGCTGCAGAACAGGCACACACGCCTCCCTGTGCCGTTGGGCAGCTGCCAGCCCTCAGCCCCTTCCTGTAAGGAGGGGCCCCGCTGGCCCCGGTGGCTGCAGCCTCCCCCGGAAGACTCACGGGGAGGCGGCAGCGCAGCTTCCCTCCGGCCTCACCCCTGGAGCCCTTCCCAGGGCGCTAGACCCACAGAAGTGACCCTGGGAGTGGAGATTCTGTCCCAAAGTGTGTGCTGCCAGCGGGGGCCAAGGGAGGGCCTGAGAACACGCTCGGGCCCTGCCCCCAGGAAGCCACACTCACCTGCGGGAGCGCCATGCTGCAGAGCGGCTCACCCTTCAGGTCTGGAAGCAGACGCGGATGCCCGGCCTGCTGCTGCCTGGCCTCCCGCTACTTCTGCCTCCTCCCGAGCGAGGTGCTCCCCCTACCTGAGCCTGGGCGACACCCCTTCCTCCCCTGAGCAGCAGCCAGCCCAGTCAGAGTTCAAACCAGGCGGTCCACAGTCCGACACCCCTGTGTCACCTGATCTCCCATTTCCAAGCGTGGCAGGAGTACAGCATTTCCCTGCACGTTATTTGTATGTTTATTACATGAGAGATTCCTAGTTCTTGTAAGGGAACAGGAAATGCAGACACAAAAGAACAAGTCATGTCACCCAGGCTCCCCCACCCAGTGCCCACCCTCACCAGGACCACCTGCCGTTTCTCAGCAGGTGAGACCTTGCCTCAGGCTATAAATGGCTCTCGATTTGTCTTCCCCCTAAAATAAAACAGAAACCTCTTTGCATAGTAACAAACACCATCTACTTGTTTTTCTAAATTGTCAAATGCTCCAGACAGAAATGTATATAAACACTAGTGCACAGTTTACAATGAAAATTAAAAAAAGGTTTATTTATTTATGCATACAAGAGCTGGGGTACAGGCCAGAGGTGCAGGGAGGGGTGGGGTGTGAGAGGACTCACCAGAGACAGAGTGGGGAACAGTACAGGCAGAGCGACTGAAATACACTGCTGAGGGGAGCAGCGGGGAGACAGGAGAGGTCTGCTGCGCCATGGGTTGTTCCCTGGCAAGAGACTGAACTCGTGCTGCAGAGGCTGCAGATAGCCTCACAGGTTGTGTCTTAACGCCTTGCGCCACCAGGGAGGCCCCTGGATTCTGTTCTTAAACAGGCAGCACCCAGGGCCTGCACTTGGCAGACGGCGGCCCCTGATGCCCCCAGCTGGGCTGGCCGCCTCTGGCTGGCGCTTGCATCATCAGGGGTCTGTCTTCACCCACCACCCTGAGGTGCCTTTGATGGCTCTGCAGACTGTCGGTTTCCTGGATGGAGCATCATTCTCTTCCTTGTGCCTGTGTTTGTGTTCTGCCCCCTCCAGGAGTTCCTGAGAAAGATGGCATGGGAGGGGGAGTTTTGGAGACCTTGCATTCCCCCCAGGGTGGCGGGGCTTGACTAGAGCTCAGAGTGGACCTGCTGTGCCTCAGCACATAGGCCCAACCCATCTCATTCCAGCTGCCACCCCGCTGGGTTTTTAGAGCTTGCCGGTGACCTATTTTGTTCTCTTAGGAGATGTTACACTGTTGTCCCCGGAGCTCTGCGACGTCCAGTGCACGCCTGCGTGAGGGTGACTCACCCGTCGCGCCAGCTCTGTGCAGCCCTTTCCGTAGGAAATTCACGGCCTCCATTGTCGTTCAGAAAATTGAAAAAAAAAATTTCTTGATAATTTCCCTGCCCCTATTTTCTCCCTTCTCTTTCTGGAAACTCTTAACTCAGAATCCCGGGTCTCCAGGCTGGTCTTCCGGCCGCCTTTTCTCACACTTGGCCTCCTCTGCCTGGAGGGTTCCTCAGGTTTCTCCGCCTGGTCTTCCTTCTACTGAGGCGCTCCATTCTGTTTCTGACTTTGCACTTCCAAGGAATTTTATTTTGTTTTCTGCGTGTTCTTTATTTGTTTACATGGAATTTACTGTTTCTTTTTCAGGATGGTAGGTCTTGTCTGACTACTCAGAGCTGTCCTAGTTTAATTAAGACATTATTTTCTTCTCTCTCATAACCTCTGAATCGTACACTCGGGTTTGGCTTTGTTCTTCTGTGTGTAGGAGGCTTTCCTCCGATGCCTGGGTGTCTTTGGCCAATGCTCATGATTAGCAGAATGGAAGAACATTAGCCTGGGGTGTATTTGCTGGTTTAGCTCACTGTACGTTGAAGTGGTGGCTCCTTTGTCTGGGTCCCAGACTGTCAATATCTTTGGGGGTTCTTGTCGACCTGGTCAGATTTCCCCCAAGGTCCTCCAGTCCCTGCCTGGAGGCTAGGGTCTGGCTGCAAGTTTGTGGGGGCTTGGTGGCAGAATACTGGAGGTGTATATGCTCAGCAGCCACCTGTTCTGGCCGAGCACCCACATGTGCTGATGCCTCTAGCATGCCTAGTCCTCCCTTACCAGACCTCAGCCCCAGATGTTGCCGGATAGGGGAGGCACATCTCGCAGTGGCTGGAAAGAGGGCGGGGATCTGAAGATCTAATTGTCCCCCCCAAGACACACTCCAAAGGTCCTCTTTATTTTGCCCTCTTTCAGCCTTAGATTCTGAAGCTGCAAGTGCTGCCAGGGCCCAAGCAATTTCGGATTCTGTAATACGATGAAGGGCTGGGTCTCGGCTTTCCCCGCTGCTGGGAGGGACGTGGCTATCTGGGGTCTGCTAAGTCAGGTAATACTGGTCGACCAGCTGTCCAGCTGCCAGGGGTTCTGTGGCCGGGGGTTCTGTTCCTGTTCTCCCTGTCCTGTGGATTTCTGTCTTTTAAAGATCCCTTTACTGCGCATTTATGGGCTTCTCAGGCAGGGCGTGCCGTGCTCATGTAGTAACCTGGAGACCTGCCTATCTTTTATGACCATGGCAGTGTGGAGATCTGCCCAAAGTCATTCATGTAGCCCCCTGGAGTGGCCATGCGGGCTGTTTCTGCTTCTTCCTTGTCGGAGGGAGGCCCCGCGGGTGTGTGCGGGCTCGGGTGGGCCTCCACTCCCTTGATGCCCCCGAGGACTGGCCCTCTTGAGCAGGCCTGCCGGTGCGACCCAACCCGGGGCGGCCGGTCTTCCCAGCGCGCAGCGTGACGTGGGCCGGGCCGGGCCGGGGAGGCAGCGGGAGGTGAGGCGGGGGCCGGGACGCGAGGCGGATTCAGGGGTGCCCCGCCCCGCGCCCTCAGACACCCGGCACCCTCATTCCACGTCCCCGCCGCCTCTCGCACCCGCCACTGATCTTTGAGCCTCTGCCCAGCCCTCCGCCCGCGGAGACGAGTGGCGCCTCCCGTCCCGGCCCCGCGAGCCGGGCCGCGGCCTGAGGCGCGCGTGTCCCCGGCCCAGCTCCACGCGGCGCGGGGCAGGGAGACTGTGGAGCGCCTTCGCGGGCTGGGGAGACGGCGACTACTGCGGAGCGTCGCGTCGTTTATCCAGCCCTGTTCCCGAAGGCGCTCCGTGGCGCGGGGTGGGTCTAGCTCGCCCCGGTCCGGGTCCCGGTCCCGGTCCGGCCCAGCCCCCGTGCGCAGCCGCGAAGGTCCGGAAGCGGGGTCGGAACCTTTCTTCCCGCCCCCGCTGGCCTGTCCGGGCCCGCCCGGCAGAAAATGCGTCTCGGACCGCGCCGCGCCGCGCAGCCGCAGTCGGACCTCGGTCGCCACGGTAACGCCCCCGGCGGTGTCTCCGCCATGAGCGTCCGGGTGGCGCGGGCGGCCGGGCCGGCGCGGGCCTGGGCTGGGGGCTGGGGCGCCGGCCGCCGCCGCGGGGCCTCGAGCGCCCCGCCGCCTCCCCCGGCGTCGTCGACGTGGCGGCGCTGCTGCGAGATGCCGCCGCCGAGGAGGCCGGGCCCTGGGGGCGGCGGCGCGGCGCCCGCCGGGCCAGCGCTCGGTGCTGCTCTTCCCGGGCCAGGGCAGCCAGGCGGTGGGCATGGGCCGCGGGCTGCTGCGCTACCCGCGCGTCCGCGAGCTCTACGCCGCCGCGCGCCGCGTGCTGGGCTACGACCTGCTGGAGCTGAGCCTGCGCGGGCCGCGGGAGGCCCTGGACCGCACCGCCTGCTGCCAGCCGGCCGTCTTCGTGGCCTCGCTGGGCGCCGTGGAGAAGCTGCATCACCTGCAGCCCCAGGTGAGGCCCGGGCGGCGGGGGCGGGAGGGCCGCGGCCGGGCTCTCGGCCAGCCCCGCGCCCCGCGCCCCCCGCCAGGCCCGGCGCGCGCCCCGCGGACTCACCCCGGCGAGCCTGAGCTCCCGCCCCGGGCCGGGCGCCGCCCTCAGCGACACGAGGAGCCCTGGCCGAGGGACGCCGCAGCGCAGGGCGGGAGCCAGACCTGCAGAACAGTCTCGTCGAAGTTGGGTGGTGGTGTTGTAGGGCAGCCCCGACATTGAGCGGGTGCCCGGCTGTGGGGCCTCACCCGCGCGCTTACAAGGACTTATGAACACTCCACTGCAGGACACAGGAAAGGTTCATAAAAGGTTTATTTACCAGGGAAAAGGAAATAAGGAAAATGGACAACTCAGGGAGAAAATGGGGAAATAAAGTCTTGAATGCGTCCTACCCGATCCGACGACCTGGAAACCCAAAGGCCCTCTCCGAGCTGGCCGCACGCTGCGAGCTGGCGGGGAGCCAAAATGGGGGACCCCCCCAAAGCCCGCGTGTCTGGCTTTATACCCGCCTGGCTGCTGAACCCCACCCTCAGGCCCCAGCCACCTTCCCTTGGGTGGGGATGGGATGTGGAGTTCCCAGTGGCTTTGGCTTTGGCCTGGGATGGGGGTGGAGTCCATGAAGCCTGTATGGAATCAGCTTTAGGACAGCCTTTCTCCCCTAACAGTGTGTTGAAGATGCTAAGTGTTGTAGAAAAAGCGGAGCAGGAAAAGGGCCTCAGGAGTCCAGGCCGTTTTTTAAATGATCCTAATCATTTAACAACTACTAGGAGACTTTCTTTTCCTTTCTTTTTTAAAGATTTATTTATTTATGCATGCAAGAACTGGGGTACAGGCCAGAGGCGTGTGGGAGGGTGAGAGGATTCACCAGAGACAGAGTGGGGAGCGGAACAGGCAGACTGACTGAAATACACTGCTGAGGAGAGCAGTGGGTGAGACAGGAGAGGTCTGCCGCACCATGTGGGTATCTCTGCGGCCAGCCAGGATCAAACCCACGCTGCAGAGGCTGCGGACAGCTTCACAGCGCGGCGCTCAACCACCTGCGCCACCAGGGAGGCCCCTACTAGGAGACTTTGAAAGGATTAAACTCCATCTTTAAGTGAAGGCTCCTTGAGAAGAAGATATAGGAGAAGGCCGCTTCACCTGAAGCTGTGACTTGATGACTAGTAATAGTAATGTCAGAGCAGTATGTGTTAAGCCAGTGCTTTAAACCTTTTACCCTCTTTCACGCTCGGCAGCTTGTGCAGTAGATGCTGCTGTTGTGTGGAAGAGGAAAGGACACTCAGGGACAGTAAAGGGATTTGCTAAATTATCTTCACGTGATTCTCTCAGCGACGATGAGGTAGATCCTTTTCTTCCCCCATTTCAGAGAGGAAAGGGACCTCCCCCAAGGTGAGGATCGCATGCAGCTCTCTGAGTCAGGCCCGTGGCTTCTGTTTAGCTCCCTCCACCCCCACTCCCGGGCTCCCACCGGCCGCCTGCTGTGCTGGGGAGGCTCCTCATCAGTAAAGGGGCGATGGCTCATTTCCAGGGCCACTGTGTGTCCTCTTCTAGCTGGGACACCAGGCAGCAGAGCCGTCTCGCTGAGTCACCGGACACCCTGCCGCTCCCACGTGCGGAGCCCCGTGACAGCCCGGCCTCACCTTCCTCATCTGTCACTGCAGGTCATTGAGAACTGTGTTGCTGCCGCTGGATTCAGCGTGGGGGAATTTGCAGCCCTGGTGTTTGCTGGAGCCATGGACTTTGCTGAAGGTACCCAGGAAGGGTTTGGATTTGTGCGGGAGTGTGGTGCTCGACTCACGGGGGGCCAGGAACATTGCCAGGAACATTAGCATCTTTGCTTGCAGGTGAATACAGGCAAGGAACTTGAACAGAAGTTTCTCCAAAGACATACAGGTGGCCAGTAGGAGCAGGCACGGCCTCTGCGTCACTCCTCACGGGGAAATGCAAATCAAACCACAGTGAGATGCCATTTCACACAGACTAGGCTGACTCCAATTTAAAAAAAAAAAAGAGGAAACTAATAAATGCTGGCAAGGATGCGGAAAAATAGGCACCGTCATGCCCTGCTGGCGAGAACATAAAATGGTGTGGCTGCTGTGGAGGGAGACACAGTTACCACAGGACCCAGCAGTCCTGCTCCCAGGTGCAGACCTAAGAAATGAAAGTGTCCACACAGCAATCCTTGGTCCCAAGTGCTCATAACCTCAGTCTTCACAGCAGCCAAATGGGCACACCCAGTGCGCGTCGCCGGGAGCGTGGATTAACAAATTGTGTGTCCAGACAAGGGGGTGCTCTTTAACCATAAAAAAAATAAATCAAGTATTGATACCTCCACGGCATGGCTGGGCCTCAGAAACACGGTGTTAAGTGAGGTCTAGAGCCCTGGGCCCTGCACTGACCTTCACTCCCAGGGACTGTCCAGAAACAGCAAATCCCTGGGGACCACAGAGTGGCGGTGATCAGAGGGGAGGGAAGCAGGGGGGAGCGGGCCACCGCTTAGTGGGGAAGGGGAGTTTCTATGGGGCAGTGGAGAGTTTCAAAACCAGAGAGAGCCGGTAGCTGTACGTTCCGACCAGGAGATACCACCCGCTCATGCCCCTTCACCTGGCTCTTTCCATGTAAATGTCACGTCAAGTTTTGAAAGCATTGTGGCCGCTATTCAGGGATGGACAAGAGAGCCCCGCGCCTCCACGGCCTGGGGAAACTTTTGTTGCATGTACAGTTTGGTGTGCGCGTCATTTGCAGAATGACAGCGTTGACATTTTGTGTCAGCATGGGTGCCGGTGCGTGGGGGTCTCCTGCTTCCCATCGCTGCTCTAACGTGTTAGCCCTGCGGTTCCGCTTGTGTAAGAGGCTGAAAGTGCAGTAGGAGCAGACACGGCGCCGGGAGAGAGGAAGGGGCAGGGCTTGTGCCTCGGGCCCGTCCCTGGCAGAGCAGCCGCCTTGGGAGTGGCCAGGACAGGGCACGGTCACTCCAAGTCCGAGTGGGTGTGAGCACCAGGAGCCTAGGGGCCACCCGCGACACACGCGCACTTAGAATCCAGTCCAGAGGTGGGGCAAGCGCTGGGGGAGGGAGCGGGCCGGGGCGGGGTGACCAGGGGCTCCTGTCTGCGGCCGCCGTTGTTCCTGCTTGTCTTAGAGTGTTACCTCTAGTTTCTTACCCAACTTTCTGCTGATCCTCACAAGTCAGGCATTTTAGCATCTGGCCATTGAGATCTGCCTGCTGTTACTGTGGTGGCAGAGACTGGGCTCCAGAGTGTTCCTCATGCCAGGACCTTTGTCCTTGGTGAGACGCCCCCTGCCTTACTGTGTGCAGCTGACCAGCAAGAACCCGGTACCGAGACAAGATCCCCAAGAACAAGGAGGGTTGGGGATCCCACAGGGCCCTCCCTGTTGACCCACCCAACCCTGAGAGGGCCTCCTGACCTTCCTGTGGTCCCCCTCGCCCCAGGGAGCAGAGCCAGGACCAGGAGGAGCTGTCCTGTGTTCCAGCCACTCTCTGCCGCGGCCGTGGGGGCTGCCGGCCGCGGCAAACCCTGCGTTCTCAGCTTGTGCTCCAGCTGGTCGGCCTTGGCGGGGTGGGGTCTTCCTGGCTCTGGGGGTGTAGCCACCCCGGTTCACAAGGGACATGTCCTCAGAGTCCCTGGGCTTGTCTCCGGCATGTCCGGCAGCCCAGGTGGCTCTTCCTTGGTTTTCTTCAGCAGTTTCTCTTCACAAGCGACTCCCAGCTTTTAACAGCAGTCCAGGCTGCTGAGGTGTTCCTGTCATCCAGGACTTCGAGCTGGAAGGCCGCCACGGCCGCTCAAACCCCAAAGCTCTGAGGTCCTCCTCGCGCCAGGCCTTCCCATCGTGGCACCCCTGGCATTTTGTCTGGGTATTTCTTAGCTTTGTGTTCCATGGGATGGACTGCGACCCGCGGGTGCAGCAGCACAGCCCCCATCCCCGTGTGACACTTTCAAATATGTCCAGACTGAAGTGGGGAGCTCCAGGGATCAGCTGCGGTGCCAGAAACCTCTTGGGGGCATGGCGGCTCTGGCCTCGTCTCTGGCCTGGGCTTCTGGCCCGATTCTCCCAAACGTGCTTCTCTCCGATAGGTCTGTACGCTGTGAAGGTCCGAGCCGAGGCCATGCAGGAGGCCTCGGAAGCTGTGCCCAGCGGGATGCTGTCTGTCCTCGGCCAGCCCCAGTCCAAGTTCACAGCCGCCTGCTGGGAAGCCCGGGAGCACTGCAAGTCTCTGGGCATGGAGGACCCCGTGTGCGAGGTGGCCAACTACCTCTTTCCCGATGGCAGGGTGATCTCAGGACACCTGGAGGTTGGTGCTGAGGGGCGCAGCCTTCGTAGCCCAGCCCCACGCCCTCCGTGAGCCCCCCCGTGGGATGGGGGCTCTGCCTGACGTGGTCTCTGCGAAGTATTTGAGCGTTGGGGAGAGAGGGGCCGAGCGCTGCAGAGGGCAAGGCCCAGCCCACGTAGCAAGCAAAGATACCCATGACCCGGACTCCGCCCTGCTCTTCTCCCAGCCTCCCCGCTGTGGCGCAGCCGCTGCCCCGGTTCCCCGCCCCGCCGCGTCCCTTCGGTGTCTGGTGTTGCAGTTCATTTCCCCTCCCTCTGTCCGTCACTCGCCGCTCCCCCAGCATCATGGGCCGTTTCTGCGTCACAAGCACCAAGGGGCGCATGCTGGTGTCCGGGGATACGCTCCTGCAGGGCCAGGCCGAGGGGAGCAGGCGTTGGCCCACCTAAGGGCCTGACCCCCGCCTGGCTCCCTGGTGGGTGGGCTGGGCTCGACATCCCAGAAGGTAGCTGCCGACCCCATCAAGCGCTGTGGGCCGAGCGTGGCCTGCCAGCCCCGCCCCACCGCTCCCACATGCACTGTGGCCTGCCAGGGTCTCCCGTTTTCCAGGGCACAGTATCTGGGCTGGGTGGGCCCTGGGCGGCGAGGGCTGGAGAGCACAGTGCCCCTCTGCTGACCCCATGGAGGGCAGGCCCCAGGGCCTCTGGGATGTGAGGACACGCGTGACTCCCTGGAGCAGGAGGGGAACGAGGTCCCTACGGTCTGCCGGTGAAATCCCGCGGAGACAGGAGACAGCACAGGCTGACGCTAGCCCCATGGCACTGCCCACGCCACCCGCCAGCTTCCTCCAAAGCGTGCGTGGCCCACATCTCCTTTTCTTCCAGGCGCTGCGGTTTCTCCAGAAGAACTCCTCCAAGTACCGCTTCAGACGCACCAAAATGCTGAATGTCAGTGGGGGCTTCCACACGCGCCTCATGGAGCCAGCCCTGGAGCCCCTGGCGCAGGCCCTGAAGGCCATTGAGGTGAAGCAGCCCCTGGTCTCCGTGCACTCCAACATTGACGGGAAAAGGTACGCACACCCCACGCACATCCAGAGGCTGCTGGTGCAGCAGGTGGTCTCCCCGGTGAGGTGGGAGCAGACCATGCACGCCATCTACGAGCGCAAGAAGGGCACCGCGTTCCCCAGGACCTTCGAGGTGGGGCCCGGGAAGCAGCTGGGCAGCATCCTGAAGAGCTGCAACCTGCAGGCCTGGAAGGCCTACCGCCACGTGGACGAGCTGGGGGCCGACGAGGACCCTGGCCTGGACCCTACCCTGTAGGCGGCTCCCGGGCCCAGGGCAGTGGCTCTGGGGGCCTGTTGCCCACCCGCCTGCAGTGGAGGTCGTGGGCCCTGCCCGCCCTGCCCCGGGGCCTCCTCCCAGAGACTAGAAGATTTATACAAAGGCTTTAAATTTTATGTGAAAAACAAAAGCACAAAAACTGTGACTTTATGTGACACGAGCCGCTTCTGTTCTGGGCACAGATGGGACTGGAAGGTCGGCTGGTGCCTCCGGAGTGTGCTGGGAGGCCAGGTACGTGCTGACCATTCACGAGTCAGGTCACTGCCAGAGGGGCCCCTCCGGCACACCTGCGCGAGGACTGGGCCGGGCCCTGCTCCCCTCCCTGCCCCAGGGTCCTTTCAGACAGGGCCTCTGCAGGGCCCCCTGCCTGCCCCTCCAGGCTGAAGCGCCCCCTTTCAGTGCACCGGGACACTCGAGGGGGTGAAATCTCTGAGCTGGTCTTGTGCATACCCCATGGGGTTGGCCTGCGCCCCGGGCAGAGCCGTGCTTGCTGGGGTGGGAGTCGTGCACTGGCAGGCCTGTGCCCCCGCGCCCAGCACTGTGAGGAAGAGCCCCGTAAAGCTTGGCCCCGGGGTGTTCAGCATCAGCAAACCTTGTTGCTGTGTAAGTAACCGCGGTGGGTTTGCACCCTTCCCAGGCGCTGCGGGCCGGCAGCCTGGAGCCCAGGCTCTGCGGTCGGGCCCTGTTCTCAGTCACGTCCAGCTGAGGAACACAGTCTCGTGAGGGGCAGCGTCACCTGGGGTTGCTGTCCCTTGGGGCCTTTGACCTCTCGGCACCCCTTCCCTCAGGGTCCAGTGGTGCTCCCGGCTCCACCCACAGGCAATGGGGGAGCGCAAGCAAAAAGCACAGGGTGCACGGGGCGCCCTCAAGGAAAACCCCAAAAAGGAAGCAGTTTCCCTGCTCAAGGCAACAGCAGGGAGCCTGCTGTCCATCAGCGCACCGGGTGCATACAGCAGGTGCCAGTTAGAGGCACATCCCGCCGCCCGCCCGCACCCATGCTGGCGGAGCTGTGGGCTGCTGGAGCCGTGTCTTCTGCGACCCTCCCCTCCTGCGTTTTATGGGGGATGTTCGGTCTAGATCCCAGCCCGGCTCTTCCCTGGGCCCCTCCCTGAATGCCCAAATCTGCACGTCGCCCACGTGGGGCAGGCCTCTCATTCCTGCCTTGACGAGCCCAGGGGGTCCTGTGCCCCCACACACACCCCAGCCGCCCACATCCGAGCTTCCCCAACATGGAGAAAATGCCCCGCAGCCAGGAACTGGGTCGACACCAACTAGGTCGTGGGGGTGGGCAGTGCCCCTGGGTTGGTCCTTGCCACACCCCTGGCCACGCTGAGTTTGCAGTGGGTCCCCAGGACCGCAGGGTGAATGTGTCCTCACTGGGCGAGCCCCAGGCACACTTCCTGGGTGAGACAGGTCTGGAGAGGACGGCACGGCCTCTCCGCAGGCCAGCACCAGGCACCTGGGCAACAGTGGCCTGGGAAGCTGGGGGTTCTGGGCCTGCCCTGAGGTTGTGAGGGGGAGTCACACACATAGGGGAGGGGTGAAATCAGCCCGCAGAGCCCGGAGGCTAGACCTTGAGGAGCTGAGGGCTGGTGGTGGCGAGGGGACCCCGTTGCAAGGACCAGGGCGAGGAAGCGGGGCGGGAGCATGTGCCAGGTCTGCGCCAGGGCTGGAAAGACAGAGGCCCCGGAGGGGCAGGCGATGTGGCCGCCGTGGGGAGCCAGGGCTGATGGAAGCAGCTCGCCCAGCCCAGGTCTGGCGTTGAAGGTCGGGCACTGGGGGTGGGAGGCGACCGCCCAAGCTCTGGGAGGGGCTGGCGGGGCTTAGAAACGGTGCCACACCTGGATAGGGACAGGCTGGGCCAGCGTCCCCTCCCCGCCTCTCCCATGAGAGCCGCACAGACCGCGTGTCCGGCGGGGGGGGCTGGAGGCCACACGTGGGAGGGCAGCCCTGGCAGCCGCAGGAAGTAGTCCCGCATGGTGGCCTGCGGGCAGGACGGGGGCAGGAGCAGCTTCGCTGGCCACAATGAAGACGGCGTTTGCAAGCGCGTGAGCCGGAGGCTGGACTCGTGGCTGCTCCGGTGCTAGGAGCTAGGCTGCTAGGCTAGGTGCTGTGCTAGGCTAGGCTAGGCGCTAGGCTCCGGTGCTAGGAGCTAGGCTGCTCCGGTGCTAGGAGCTAGCCCAGCCCTTCCCTCCGCCAGCCGAGACAGCCCTCCGTTCAACCCCCAGAGAGGACCAGAGACGGCTGCAAACCAACATTTTATTGCGCTCTCCTCGCCCCGGGGAACATCTAGCCGGTAGGTTTCTCTTCACTGGGAGCACCACAGACGCAGGGGTGTGACCAGCACTCCCCCTGCGGCCGCCTCCCAGTCTTGCCCAGGGAGGAGGGCTCCCCCAGGGCGGGCCCCAGGAGGACGGCAGGGAGAGCAGGCCCAGCAGGGCAGTTCACCAGTAACAGCCCAGAGGTATGATGAATTCATTTCTTATAAAATAAACAAGAAAAAACTAGTATCAAACCTCAGAAGTGTCCCAGCACTCAGAGTTTAAATATAAAAAAGGATCAGGAAACAGTTAAAAAGACAGCAAAACCAACGGGGCCACCTCCAGGGTGGGGGTCGAGGGGGAGGGGGCCAGCCCCGCCCCCCACGCCGCGTGGGCGTCACTGCAGGACGTAGAGCCCCCAGCAGAGCAGCAGCAGCAGCATGGACAGCACCAGCTCGCGGCCCCGGAGCCCGGGCACCTGCGGAGCGGGGAGAGGGTGACACCCGCGGGAAGCGCTCAGCCTCCGGCTCACTTCCCGGGCGCCCAGCGGACACAGGCATGGGGGGGCGAGGGCGGGTCCCCGCAGATGTGGCGAGGGAGGACACTGCAGCTGCAGGGATCTGGGGGGAGGTGACCAGAAAGATGAGCCGTGGGGAAAAGGGAAGGCCCCCGCCCGGAGGCTAGTCTGCTGGGGCCCAGGCTTAGAGGTCGGGAGGGACAATCCGGTGGCCGGGGAGAGGAGACGGGGAGAGGAGACGGAGCCCGGGGAGAGGAGACGGAGCCCGGAGCCCGGGGAAGCTGCTCGGGAGCGGCCTCAGCCCCGAGGGAGGGAGGAGAGGGAGGGAGGAAGCCGCCCGCCTGCCTGAGGAAGGCCCTGCTGGTGCTGGCGAAGGGCAGCCCAGGCGTGGCGCGGGAGCAGGCAGCGCCCTCTGGGCACGCAAGGGTTCCCCAGGCAGCCAGCAGATCAGGACTCAACCCCCAGGCTTTGGGGGCCGGGGAAGGGGCAAGGAAAGACAAGAGGGAGTGGTGGGGTCTGAGGCAACCGGCCAGGGTTGCCTGTGCAGCAGCTGTTCCGCAGCTGCCGGGGCCGGGGTGGGTGTCGAAGTCAGGAAATCTCAAGGCTCTTACCCTGTCCCTGAAGATCAAGAAGCTCCAGAACCTTATGTTCTCCCTGAGGTTAGCGAGGCCACTGATGAAACTTCTAAAAACGCCCCTCAGGCCTGTCTGGTTGTATGTGAAGGTCAGGCTGCGAGACAACCGGGGCGGGCGGGTAAGGTCACCACGCAGGAACGGGGCGGAGATGGCCTTTGTTTTCGGCAACAGCTGTGACCTGTCCCCTCCCGCCCACGGCCGCCCCGCAGCCCCCTGCCCGGGGTGCTTCCCCCGGGGGTCTCCCCCTCCACTGCCCGCCCGCTGTCCTGGAAAGTGCCCGCTGCCCGCAGGCCCAGGTCCGGTCCAAAGGAGAGGGTCCTCCCTGCAGAGGGCCGTTTGGATGGAGGCCCGGACTCCCCAGAGGCAGGCTGCCTCCCTTGGGGCCCACGAGACCCCGTCACCCTTCCTCTGGCCTCCCCACCTAGAGCAATTCTGTGTTGCTCTACAAAACTGCAGGGAGCTCTGCAAATCAGGAAGCCGAGTCACCCGACAGGGAGCGCACCCCCAGCCCCCCAGCAGAAGGCCCTGCCCAGGGCGTCCCGGGAGCCCGCTCAGCATTTCCTGTCACCGAAAGTCAAGGCCCTTCTGGAAGGCGACTATCTTGGCTTGCTGAGGGAAGAAGGGGCTCGGGTCCACCTCAGGCTTTCGCCTGGGCCAGGAAAGCAGGGCGGGGGGCCCCGGGGCGGGTCTGCCTGGGAGCGGAGCCCCCTCCGGCCGGTCACCTGTGCACCGCCATCCCAGGCAGCTCGGCGATGCGCGGCAGCGTCCACCTCACTTCCATCTCGTCCCCGATGAAAGCCAGCCGCATGGCCACGTCGTCAGGGCTGCTGTCCCTGGGGGAGGGCACAGGTTGGGGCAACACAGGCAGCGCTTGCGAGGGCAGGGCAGGGAGCCTCCGCAGGCCCCTCTGCTCACTCCCCTGAGCTCCGGGAAAAGCCGGCGAGGTCCAGTCGCAGGCCATTCCCGAGACTCACCTGCCCGTGTGCCCGGGGCACCTGCCCGGCCCCCTGCTGGAGCGGGGAGCTCCTGGATGGGTCTGAGCCTTCACCCAGAAGATACTCTCCCTTCCCCCCAAGGGGCACGGATGCTCTGGAGAATTCCAGGAAAGGTCACCCCACCCAGCCGTGGGCTTGATGGGAAAGGTGGGTGACGGGGCCGGGCGGGTGGGGGACTGAGCCCCCTGGCTGGCTTCGCACAGGGGTCTCAACCTGCCCTGCTCCTCGGGGCTGAGGGGCTCTGGGACCTATTCCCTGGTCCCCCCTCCTGAAACCACCTCTGTTGTCATCACCCCTTTCAGAAAGGAGGGTTAACAGGCCCCTCTGGCCCCCCCACCCCCAATAAGCAGGGTCTCTGAGGGCAGTGGAGACCACACGTGCCCCACCCACTTCCAGTCCCAGCCGCCGCCCTTCCAGCTTGCCCTCCCGGGCATCTGCTCTGAGGGCTGCCCACACATTCCAGGCCGGTGACGAGGCAGCTCGCGGGAAGTCCCAGGCCGGCAGCCTCTCGGCCTAAGAGCCCCGGCCACCTGCCCTGTCTGCCCCAGGGCTGGGCTCCCTTCCAGGAGATAGGGGTGCGGATGGGGGGCTGGGGCGGGCAGGCTGGCCCACACGCTGCAGGACCTCCGGCGAACACCACCCGAGCTGAGGTTCCCGAAGGGGTCCCCATGGGAGTAGGGGGGTTGCAGCCCTAACACCCTCCCAGCCCCCAGTCCAGGATCTGATGCCTAAGCGAAGCCTGAGGCAGGAGAGAAGCATCCAGAAGCATGGGGCTGACCCTGGGTAGATTCCATGCTTGCTGCCCTAACAGCCAGGGCCGGCGCCATGCCTGAGGCCGCCTCCCCAGCCACAGGGACCCACCTGCCAGGGGACGACTCGGGGTCGCTGGACTCCATGACGTCGGTCATGCCGGGTACCCCCAGAGCTTCGGGGGCCTGCTCATACAGGAGGCTGTCCAAGAAGAGGCTCCTGGAGACGGGTCCCACTCGAGACATGTCTTCTCTGGGGAGAAAGCACAGCCTGGTGAGACGCCCAGAGCCTCGCACTCCGGGGCCCTCACAAGCCTCCTACCTGCCCCGCCCCAGTCCACTCTCTGCCTCTGCTAAAGCGGGCACCGCTCCAGGCCCCGCGCAGGGCCCGCGCCTCCGTTCAGGGCTACCTCTCTGCAGTCCGGAGCGAAGGGCCCTCGCCTCTTTGTGACATAAAACCAGTCTAAACGGAAGAGCTCCGGCCCCGGCCCCCCGGAGGCCGGCAGCCAGGCTGAGAGGCCCAGGCGACTGGGCCCAGAGCGGGGTGGGCCGGGCGCCCGGGGAGCAGGCTCCTCGCCGCTGCCTCTGGACACGCCCGCATCTGGCGTCCGCTGCTCCCCTTGAGCAAAGAAAGCAAACCCAGAAAAAGAGAAAAGTCAACCGCACCCCGACTCCCAGCGGGACCCCCCCAGCCTGGTCTTTCTGCTAAACATGCACGCACACGGCCCACGGTTCAGAGCGCCCGCCCCCGGCACTGCACCTCATGCCCACCTCCCCAGGCGCCGGCTCCTGGCAAAGAGAATTCCTTCTTGGGGTGAGCAAGTTGCTCCTCGCCTTCCCGGCACCCCGCACGTGTAGGGGCGGGCGTGTGGCACCCCGCACGTGTAGGGGCGGTTGTGTGGTCAATCAGGGCTCACGGGGGCTGGAAAGCAACAAGAAGAGCGCGGGAAGCTCTCCTGCTGCCTCGGACACCGGCGTGAGGGCTGGCACTACAGCGGCCATTTCACGAGAGTGAGGAGCTGAGCACAGGCATCACCAACTTGCCCCGGCCGCAGAGCACAGTAGGGCGCTGGGTCCTCTGAGGGCTCTGCTGAGCAACTGCAAAACCACAAGCCGCCACCTGCCCATCGCCTCAGCAAAATAAAACCCGTTTATTCAAATCACGGTTCACGGAGTTCGCTGCTCCTCGCAGACAGGCTTCCTGTCGCGGGGCACAGTCCCAGCAGCCCGGTTCCCGCCACCACTGGGGTCGCGGGGCGGGTCCTGTGACCTGGCATGCCAGGATTCGCCCTGCCCTGTGCCAGCAGCCTCTGAGGACTAACGCGGCTCTGGATCCGAAGGCCCCGGCAGCTGCTGGACGCTGCGGCATCCTGGCTGCCAGCCCCCCCCCACCCCTCCGGCTGCCGGGGGACCACGAGGGTTCTCTCCTCAAGGGCTTTGTGTAGGGCCGCGCCCGAGCATCGGCCACTCACGCCCTCGGACTCCAGCCACCGTTTTTCTTAACTTCTGCTCCCCCTCCCTTGCCTGCACTGAGCTGCCCGTCTCTTCCGTTCTCTCGTTTAGCCCCTCAGCCTGCAGGGGGCAGCTGGGAGAAGGGATAGCACCCCAGCCTCCTGGCTCTCCGGCTGGGACTCGCCTTCATCCCTGAAGGGGATTGACCTCTGCGGCAGGGAGCCCAGGGAGCCCGCAGGCGCCCGGCTGGGACAAGAACCTCAGGGAGGGGCTGGGAATGCCCGCAAGGCGGACGGAGGGGCCGCAGGGCCAAGGCCGCGACTTGACCTCCAGGTACCTCCAGCTGAGTCTAAACAGGTCATATGCCACCCTGCACCCCAATTACGCAGTCAGGGAGCCAGGCTCACAATGATGTCAGCTGGGGTGTGGACAGGTAGCTGGGAGTCCAGGGCACGCTGGCCTTTGAGCAGGGAGACGCATAAGGACAGCTTTGTTCTAGAGAGATAAGATGCCCAGGACCTCAGTCTCAGGGAGAGATGGCTGTTTCGGTTTCCTAGGAGGAAACAGAGGCCTTTGCAGCCGATGTGGGCTGACGCCCGCCCCGTGTGAAGAACAGCCCACAGGAGGCGGGCAGTCAGACATGCAAACAGGGCCACGAGGGCCACGCTGCCCTGGGCCGGACATAAGCCACCCGCCACCCCCCCCCCCCCCCCCCCCCCCCCCCGTCCCCCGGGGCCTGGAGGTAGCAGCTCCCACTTGTGGGTGAGGAGGTAGCAGCTCCCACTTGTGGGTGAGGGCGCACCTGAGCGGGGGTGGGGTGCTGCCCCCACAGGCCAAGGGCTCAAAGCCTCAGGCCCACATACTGGGAGGGTCAAGGAGGCATTTCTAGCACCCAGGAAAGCTGTGAAATACCCAACACAGGTGTGTGTGTGGGGGGGGGTGGAACACATCACACTGACTCCGGGAACACCTGGCAGCACTTAGCAGCGACCCGGTGAAACCAGAACCACCTGCAACTTCAAGTAACTTAACAGCACTTCAGAAAAAGCCTGATGACGAGCCACGCGTGGGCTGCAGCCGCCCACCTGCCCCCGGCCCGCTGACCCGGCCCTGCCGCCTGCACCGCTTCCGCCGGCCTCTGCGTCCACTGGTTAAGCCCAGGGCGGGGAGCGTGGGGAAGGCTCTGCCCGGCAAACTAGCAGGAGGACGTCAGATGGACTCAAGCGAGCCAAAGTCGCCGTGGGTGAGTCTGCGCGAGTCAGAGGAACGCTCCGGAAGACCCAACCGCGGCGCCGGACGCCGGCACCAGCGGAGCCTGGACCCTTTCAGCTGAGCGCAAAGGAAGATGGTTCACGTGAGGCGCAGGCCGGAGGCCAGTGGAGGCCAGCGCCCGGGGAGGCTCCCCCCGCTCAGGCGGCCAGAGAGGCCGGCCCGTCTGTGGGTGAGCGACCAGGCAGGAGGGAGGCTCCGGGCCGGGAACCCTAACGGGGTGGAAGGCTTAGAGGCACAAACGCCAGCTCCGGACGCGTGCAGGTGAACGGAGGCCGCTTCCAAGCAGACGCTCGTGCGGCTGTGGAGTGTGTGCTGGTGTTGCGGGACCTTGAGGAGCCCAGAAGGAGCCCCAGGCCCTAGGGGGCCGGGCAGCTATGCAAATGGCCATTTCCCTGGGAAAGCAGCCCCAGCTGGCATTTGCATCCGCCTCCCTGCCCCCTTCCCCTCCAGTCCTCACCCCCACACTGCACCTCCACAGGGGGCTCACCCCTGTGTCCCTCCCAGCAGGAGGGCGGGTCCCGAGCCTCACCGGGCCCCCTGTCCGGCATCCCTTAGCAGCCAGCCCCAGACGTGCCGAGTGGGGGGAGTGCAGCTCACTGACCACCGGCAGCTCCTCCAGATTGGGGTGGGGGCGAGTGTGTCTGAGCAGCTCCAGGCGTGGGGCAGTGGGGGGCTGCCCAGCAGATTGAGCTCTGTGGGTTCCCCGCCCCCCCGCTTGACCGCCCCGTCTGAGCTAGCCTGGACGACATCCCGCTCCCCCAAGGGTTTGCCTGCTCCTGAGCCTGGTCTCCTGCAGGGACCTTCAAGATGCCAGGGGCCGGCGGGTTATCGTCCTAGCCCACCGCTCACTCGTGCGCCATCTTGGGCCAAAGCACCGTCTTGTCTGTGAAACGGGGCTAACGGATAATGGCCCTGAGCTAGCGGCAACCTTTCCCCAGTAAGAACCAGCCCCGACCGCCTGTCCCAAGCCCAGCCGCTGTGTGAGCAGCAGCCATGGTCAGCGCCCAGGCGTGGCTCAGCACATTCAGTGCCCCGCGTAACCCTGGCATCCGGGCCCCAAGTGCCGACGGGCTGTTCTTAGACCAACCTCTGCCAGGCCGGGCTGGCCTGGGGACTCTAGGTCTGGTGGGCTCACTCACAGAGGGGACAGCAGGGTCCGGGGAGCTGCCCCACCAGCCTGGGGCGCCCACGGGGGCCACCTTCAGCTGGGCTCTCCTAGGGATCTCCACGCAGCAGCTCCCATCAGGCCTGTCACCGCTCTGTCCACTGCCTGTCCCCTGAAAGCGAGCCACCCCCACTGCCTCCCGCAGGCGTCTCCCGGCCTCAGACCTGGCAACCCCCATGCCCCCGCCACCCTCAAGAGCATGGTTCTGTGGGTTGTCGGGACGCGTGCAGCCTCCTCCAGGGTTTTGCACGAGCAGTGCCCGCTGGTGGCCAGCCTCCGCCTCTGACTGCCTCATTCCAGTCCGTCCCTGCAGAGCTCAGCTCTGGCACTAACCTCCCGAATTAGGCAGGGCCCTGCTGTGGCCTGTCTCTGCTCCCTCCTCGCCCTTGCTGCCTCTGTGTTGGTGCTGGTCTAGAGCTTGGCTGCTCGGTGTCCTTGGGAAAGCTGATTAACCTCTCTGAGCCTCGAGTCTCCTCCCGAGCGAGGACACTATTCCACAGGGCTGTTGTGAGGCCCAGGGAGAGCATCCCCGCTACGTGCCAGCGGGCAACAAACAGGAGCTGCTGTTCTCCTTAACCTCTGCTACCGGCACAGGTAGATGCTTGTTTGTCGAATGACTCAAAAAAAGGCAAGCCCTGAGGTTGCTGCAGCTGCAGAGCCAGGAGCAGGGACTGGCTTCAGCATCTATTTTCTTCCCAGCAGATTTGCAAAAAGTAGCTAAAAACCTTCCTTTGGTGAAAGGAAAGCAGAGGAGCTCTGGGTCCCCAGCCTGGCCCAGCCCACACCCTCATCCGACCCGCCCAGTGGAAAAACCAGCCAGGAGCCCCATCTCGCCCCCAGGGGTCAGAATGCAAATCTCACATCTGTGCAGAGAGCCGCCCCCACGGCCACAAGGACCCCCGCGGGCTCGGTGGGAGAACAGCCGGCCTCAGCTTGGCCTCCTGTTCTGTCACCCTCACGCTCCGGATCTGGGCCAACCCCACGTCATCATCTATAAACGCGTGTGACCTGCAAGCCCTGCAGGTCCCTGGGAGCCCAGAAGAGCAGCAGGGCCTGGAGGTGCTGCAGGGACACAGCGGGGGGCCGCAGGGGCCGCAGTGGCAACTGTGTTGCCCTGAGTGTAGCCATAAAGCAGACAAACAAGCGCCTCTGGGGGGGCCTGTTTACTGGGGGAGCCTGTTTACTGGAGATGTTTACCGGAGGCTGTAAGCGCTTGAGGCTGTGAATGCTGCAGCCGCTGATGCGGGAGTCAAAGGCTGACTGTGTCCAGTGAAGATTTCAGGAATCAGGCGCCTCCCCCCTGGCCTGGCCCGCCCGGCAGGGAAGCCCTGCTCCAGCCCCACAGGAACCTAAACCCGCTTGTC